AGCTGGCATTTCCAGGCTTCTTTATGGTATCCCTGCTAGCATTCTTAGACTACTTTTTTGGGTCCGCCCTTGCAATTTCAGTCCTCTTTATGAGATCCCTGCTGGCATTTCCAGGCCTCTTTACGGGGTTCCTGCTGGCATTCGTAGGCCTCTTTACAGGATCTCTGCTGGCATTTCCAGGCCTGTTTTAAGTGGTCCCTGTTTGCAATCCTAGACATCTTTATGGGGACCTTGCTGCCATTTCCAGACCTCTTTATGGGGTCCCTGCTGGGATTTCCTGGTCTCTTTATGGCATCCTTGCTTGCAATCCCAGGCTCCTTTATGGCGTCCCTGCTAGCATTCTTAGTCTTCTTTATGGGGTGCACCCTTGCAATTTCCGGCCTCTTTATGAGATCTCTGCTGGCATTTCCAGGCTTCTTTACAGGGTTCCTGTTTGCAATCCAGGTTTCTTTATAAAGGTCCTTCTGGCATTCCTAGGCATCTTTATTGCTTGCCATCTAGAACCTATTTATGGGGTCCCTGCAGTCAAGCATCCCTCTTCCTGATTTTTGGGAGGAAGGCTGAGAGATTGTTTTCCTAAATGCAGGGGATCTTGCCTGGAGGTGTGTGGCGTTTCCGATTCCTCTCTGACCTCAAGAGTCATGCTAACTTCCTATGTGACCCACCGCCAGGACCACTCTCAGCCAGGTGAAGAGGGCATCAAAGGTAGGCACCCACCTGTTCCAACTCATGCTTGTGCAGGTCTCTCATTCCTTTTACGCGTTGTGGTCACTATTGTTACATTGAGGGGAGGAGGGTACTGCAAAGTTTGAAAACAGATACTGTATGTGTGTTATGGAATAGCATATGCATTTGCAGGAAGCTGGCTGTGATCCAGTAGCAACAATTGCCTCCCCCCCCCCCTTCCCAATCTCTCAGGTTTTGCTTGGCATCTTCCGCTCCAACCTTTGGGGTGGAGAGAATGACCTCAGCAGAGATTGTGGGTCATGGTGGCATCCAGCAAGCTCCTTGAGTCGGCCATCCCAACAGATTGATCGCAAGGGCGGCTTTGTCTAAGACAATCTGCCCTTCCATTAGCACTGGAGGGCTGTCCAGTCGACCCAAGAAGTCTACCGCAGCCTCTCCTGGAAGAAGACTTGCAGCACCTGAGGGAGCCCCTGAGACCCCGGCCCTGGTCACATTTTGGGTCGAGGGGGTTATGGGCCCGGGCTAGAAGAGGCAAACGTGACCCCAGCAGTCACCCCATATGCTGCATCAGAGTTATTTCAGAGTTTCAGAATTATATCAGAGTAGATATAGATATAGATATATATAGATATATCTATCTATATAAGAGTCTCTGCTGAGGTCATTCTCTCCATTAAAAATGTAATGTTAGTTTGTGCTACCATCAGAACTCAAAATCCACTGGGGGAATTGACACCAAATTTGGACACAAGACACCTAACGGTCCAATTTATGTCCTCCACTCAAAAAACTGATTTTGTCATTTGGGAATTGTCGTTGCTGGGATTTATAGTTTACCTACAATCAAAGAGCATTCTGAACTCCACCAATGATTGAATTGGGCTAAACTTAGCACACAGGGCTCCCATGACCAACAGAAAAAACTGGAAAGGTTTGGTGGACATTGACCTTGAGTTTGGGAATTATAGTTCACCCACATCCAGAGAGCACTGTGGACTCAAACAATGATGGATCTGGACCAAACTTGGCACGAATATTCCATATGCCCAAATAAGAACACAGATGGAGTTTAAGGGAAATAGACCTTGACGTTTGGGAGTTGTAGTTGCTGGGATTTATAGTTCATTACAATTAAAGAGCATTCTAAAACCCACAAACAACAGAAATGGGGCAAACTTCCCACACAGAACCCCCATGACCAACAGAAAATACTTAAGGCCATCCAGTCCAACTCTCTTCACCAGGGCAAGAAAATGTAATCAGAGCCCTCCTGACAAAGAGCCATCCAGTCATAAATATAGATAGATAGATAGATATGATTCTCATGCGCACACACAGATATACTATCATAGATTTGAAAGGGACCCTGAAAGAAGGACTATGATATGTTGCATATTCCAGAGTAGGCAAACCAGACACTCTCCACATCAACACTGACAAAAGAAACAACAAGAAATACTGTTTACTCAAAAGCATAAAGGAATTACATATATTAGAAACCAACACTTTCTCATCACTTTATTTTCCAGATCACCAGACTGGGCCACAGCAATGCGTGGCAGGGGACAGCTAGTATATATATAAAATTGATGCCAGACTCTTTGCTGTTCAATTCACTCAGTCAGTTTTATTTTCTGCCTGTCGATGGTAAAGATTTTTTTTAGAAAAATGGAAAAGTAAAATATTCTTCATTCTCCTTCTGTGTGCCTTCCCTCACTTATCGCAGGGGTTACGTTCCAGGACCACCCGAGATAAGTGAAAATCTGCAAAGTAGGGGCACCATATTAATTGTAATATTTATACATTATTGGATGTTGTTGGGGCAGCATCGGGGCCTCCAGCGGGCTGCATTCTGGCCCGGAACAAGGAGGTGGACAAAGCACGTCCGCTCGCAACCTGAGCCACCAACGGGATGAGCCAAAAAAAAAAGCAACAGGACATGAGGGGCCGCACACCAGCCTCCCTTTCTGAGGCCCATTGTAATGTAAATATTTTAAATTCCTTTTTTTGGAAAATCCGCAAAACAGTGAGTCTGCGTAAAGCAAACCGCGAAGTAGCGAAGGAACACTGTACATTCGTCTGTTGCACGCAGTGTAATATTTTCCAGCTATTCATGTTCCATCATCATTCCTCAGATAATATCTTTTCTTTAAGGGCTCACAATCTTCTATTTGAATAGTACATAAGGCACCATAGGTTAAGAGAAAGGTTTTCCCCTGACACGAAGTTTGGGGTGTGGTGCTCATCTCCATTTCTAAGCCGAAGAGCCGGCGTTGTCTGTAGACACCACCAAGGTCATGTGGCTGGCATGACAGCATGGAGCGCCGTTACCTTCCCACCAGAGGGGTACCTATTGATCTACTCACATTTGCATGTTTTTGAACTGCTAGGTTGGCAGAAGCTGGGGCTGACAGCGGAAGCTCAAGCCGCTACTTGGATTTGAACCTGTGACCTTTCAGCCAACAAGCTAAGCAGCTCAGCTCTTTAACCCACTGCGTCACTGGGAGCTCGGATAGGCACCATAGGCTCTAAATTAATATCCGCTTCCTCCTTGTCTAGAGTCTTACAGGAGCTCCTATGTACATTTTTAGTTTAATTTTATATTGATATGCAGAAACAGAAGAATGGCCTGCCTCAGGGGAGCGTGCTTGCTCCATCAGTGTTTAACATTTACACAAATGACTAGCCACTGGCATGAAGGGCCAGAGAGTTTCATGTATGCTGACGATCGTGCCATCACTGCTCAAGCAGGGAGCTTTGAAATGGTTGAACAGAAGCTCTCTGAAGCTTTAGGTGCTCTTACTGCCTATTACAGGAAAAACCAGCTGATCCCTAATGTTTAACATTTACACAAATGACCAGCCACTGCCTGAAGGGGCAAAGAGTTTCATGTATGCTGACGATTGTGCCATCACCGCTCAAGCAGGGAGTTTTGAAATGGTTGAACAGAAGCTCTCTGAAGCTTTGGGTGCTCTTACTGCCTATTACAGGGAGAACCATCTGATTCCTAATCCATCTAAAATGCAGATGTGTGCTTTTCACCTTAAGAACAGACAAGTATCTCGAGCTCTGAGGATGACCTGGGAAGGAATCTCACTGGAGCACTGCAGCACACCAAAATACTTGGAAGTTACCCTGGACCGTGCTCTGACTTACAAGAAGCACTGATTTACTATCAAGCAAAAAGTGGGTGCTAGAAATAATATTATATGGCACAACCTGGGAATCACAACCAGACACAGTGAAAACATCTGTCCTTGCGCCATGCTACTCTATGGTTGGATACGCATGCTCAGGGTGGAACACATCTCATCATGTTAAAACATTGGATGTGGCCCTTAATGAGACATGCCACATTATCACAGGATGCCTAAGCCCAACACCGCTGGAGAAATTATACTGTTTAGCCGGTATCGCCCCACCTGACATCCGCCGGGAAGTAGCAGCCAGCAATTAAAAGACCAAGGCAGTGATATCTTAAATCAAGAAATAGTTTTCTAAGTAAAAAAATTTAAAAATTTTAAAAAGTCTGTCTGGTAAAAAATAAAAAGTAATTTTTATTGTTTACTTTTTTTTACTTTGTCTCCTCTTTCTACTTTCTGTTTACCTATGGATCACCTTTCTTCCACTCCTTTCTCTTTATTCACTTTTGAGATTTCTCAATTTTTTATTTTTTAACCATTGTAAAAAAATCTCCAATAATTTTTTTTTCAAAAAAAGAAATAGTTTTCTAAGATCTACAGATAAACTCGCAGGAACAGCTGCGCAAGCAAGAGTCCAAAAGTGGCAGACTAAAATCCAGCACCTCACTCGATACAGGCTGTAACCTTATGCTCTGTTCAGCCTTGTGACTCACCAGGAGGACCTCTGTCTTGTCTGGATTTAGTTTCAATTTGTTTGCCGTCATCCAGACCGTCACAGCTGCCAGTCACCGGTTCAGGACCTGAACAGCAGCGATAGAGTTGGACGTCATCTGCGTACAGAAGGCATCGAACTCCAAAACTCCGGATGATCTCTCCCGGCAGCTTCATGTAGATGTTAAACAACATCTTACTGAATCAGGCCGTGCATCCCAGAATGAGAAGGAACACTTAAGGGATATCTAAACCAGTCCCTGAACTCGGCTGCATTGTGGTCCACAAAGCAAACCCCCTCCCCATCTTTTGCTGAAAGCACCAGATCCAGAGAGGAAGCACCCTCTTTCAATCCTGCCTCACATTTATTTCTGCTTCAGGGTTGGACTGCAGTTGAAAGATGGAGATGTTGTTCTGAGTCGGGAGGCTCGATTTTGGGCCTCTCTGGAATACTCCCATCTAAAAGGCAACCGCTGCTTCCTCTTCCATGGCCTTGGTGACTTTGGGGAGCGGATCCCTTGCCATCATCAGCTCCTGGATCCTGGCGTAGGTCTTGCTCTCTGCAGGGTAGTTGTTCTTCTGAAAAGGCCAAAGCGGAGGGTGAGGCAGGAAGCAGAAAGGCGGCCCCTGAATCAGGGCCAGGTAGCCGATTTGTCCTGTAAGACTCCTTTATTACTATGCCATGTTTCCATGCTGTGCAGTCATGGGAGTTGTCGTTTCCCAAGGTCCATACCTTTCTCTTGGTGCATTTCCACTCTGGAATGAATGCTCTTAGACCCCACTTTAAATACGATAGTGCCATACTATGCATCCTGGGAGTTATAGTTTCCCAAGGTCCACACCCTTCTCTGGTTGCATCTGCACCGGAGAATAAATGCAGTTGGGACCCATTTAAAATGCTATTATTATTATTATTATTATTATTATTATTATTATTATTATTATTATGCCATATCTCCAGTCTGTGCAGTCCTGGATATCATAGTTTCCCAAGGTCCATACCCTTCTCTTGATGTATTTATAGTATGGAATGAATGCCCTTGCACCCCACTTTAAATACCATAGCTCCATGTGATGGGAGTCCTCCTGGGAGTAATAGCTTCCTAAGGTCCATACCCTTCTATAATAATAATATAATAATAATAAAACTTTATTTGTACCCCGCTACCATCTCCCCGAGGGACTCGGTGAGGCTTACATGAGGCCGAGCCCAAAATACATCAATACAAGCAATAACAACAACAATAAAACAATTAAATAAACTCATAAACAAAAGGCAATATACAATGACAGTAATACAACACACATTTAAAATCTATTCTTGATGTATTTCTTCTCTTGGTGCATTTACACTATGGAATGAATGCTCTTGGGCCCCACTTTAACTACCATAGTGACATACTATGCAGTCCTGGGAGTTATAGTTTCCCAAGGTCCATACCCTTCTCTGGTTGCATCTGCACTGAGAATGCAGTCAGGACCCACTTTAAATGTTGCTGCTGCTGCTGTTGTTGTTACTATCATTATTCCATGCCTCCATGCTTTGCAGTCCTGGGAGTCATAGTATTCCAAGGTCCATACCCTTCTCTTGGTGCATTTACACTATGGAATGAATGCTCTTGGGCCCAACTTTAACTACCATAGTGACATACTATGCAGTCCTGGGAGTTATAGTTTCCCAAGGTCCATACCCTTCCCTGGTTGCATCTGCACTGAGAATGCAGTCGGGACCCACTTTAAATGCCACTGTTGTTGTTATTATTATTATTATTATGCCATGCCTCCATGCTGTGCAGTCCTGGGAGTCATAGTATTCCAAGGTCCATAACCTTCTCTTGGTGCGTTTACACTATGGAACGAATGCTCTTGGGCCCCACTTTAACTACCATAGTGCCATACTCTTATTGTTTATTGTTTTGCTTTATGAGTTTTATTGTTGTATTTGTTATGCTATTGTTTTATTGAGGACCTTGGCCTTTGTAAGCCGCATCGAGTCCTTCGGGAGATGTTAGTGGAGTATAAATACAGTTAATAATAATAATAATAATAATAATAATAATAATAATAATAATATGCAGTCCTGGGAGTTACAGTTTCCTAAGGCCCACACCCTTCTCTGTGAGGCAGCCGAGAGAGACAGGGAGGGAGACGGAGAGAGAGTGAGCATTATTGCTTCCTTTCCCTGTGAAAGAATACTGAAAAAAACAGAGACACATTTAGCAGTGTGATAGGTCGGGAAAACACCGGTTTCATTAAAAAAAAAACTGAGTAAGATTGAGCTCTTCTCTGTTCTTTTCTGCCATACAATTCCCTGCCTAATATGAATAAGTGCTCACCCCCAAAGACAACCGCAAGAGACCTGTGGGCCCCTTGCTTCCAGGAGCCACACGACAGGTCTGCTGTTCCACTGCAGCCAGGAAGCCCTTCAGTCCGATCTCCGTGATCCGGTTCCCTAAGAAGAAGAGGAGGAAGAGGCATCAACCATAGCCTCCATCCTAGGCTTGGCTCAACCTAATCCTTCCACCTCCAATCTCCTTTAGAGCTCAAAAGGAGACTCTCGTGGCCACTGAGGAGTGTGGAGCTTGTGAGAGCCTAAGGAGAGAAGTAGCAGGGATCAACTGCCAAAGTGGCCAAGAAGGCCTGTCTGTGGGCTCTTCAAGGCAGGGATCCGCATCTCCACCTCCCCCGGTCCCAAACTTACGAATGAGGTTCAGGTAGATGAGGACGCGATTGCCAGGAAGGAAGACTTTCCCATCTCGGTGTTCTGCTTGCTCCAGGAGTGGGTTCACAATCTCGGTGGGTTCGACCACCTGCCAACAAGAGGAGGGCAACTCAGCTTTGTCCCTTCAAAGATTTGGTCCTCCCTCCCTCTCTCTTGGCTGCCCCACAGAGAAGGGTGTGGATCTTCGAAAGCCATATCTCCTTGGACCACACAGTATGGAGCTATGGTATTTAAAATGTGGTCCAAGAGCATTCATTCCATACTCTAAATGCATCCAGAGAAGGGTATGGACCTTGGGAAACTATAACTCCCAGGACCGCATAGTATGAAGCTATGGTATCTAAAGTGGGGTCCAAGAGCATTCATTCCATACTCTAAATTCACCAAGAGAAGGGAATCTATAACTCCCAGGACCGCATAGTATGAAGTAATGGTATCTAAAGTGAGGTCCAAGAGCATTCATTCCATACTCTAAATGCATCAAGACAAGGGTGTGGACCTTGCAAAACTACAACTCCAGGACCGCATAGTATGGAGCTATGGTATTTAAAATGCAGTCCACAAGCATTCATTCCATACTCTAAATGCAACAAGAGAAGAGTATGGACCTTGGGAAACTATAACTCCCAGGAGGGCTCCCATCGTATGGAGTCATAGCATTTGAAGTGGAGTGCAAGGGCATTCATTCTATACTGTAAATGCACCCACAGAAGGGTATGGATCTTGGGAAACTATGACTCCCAGGACTGCACAGCATAGAGACATGGCATAATAATAATAATAATAATAATAATAATAATAATAATAATAATAATAATAATAATAATATAATCCTCGTTCAGTCAGGACTGGATCGAGGAACCATGGAGGTCTTGCCTCGGGCCTGGCAACAGGAGAGAGGAGAAGCCTCACCTCGATTTCCACTGCTTGGGCCCGTTTGTCCTTGTTGCTGGACTTGGTTCCTTTGCCGCGAGGGGGCTTCTGTTCGGCAGCAGGGCGTTCCGTGCCTTTCTTGGCTTGCTTGGCATCCTTGGCATCCTTGGTGTCCTCCTTCTTAGGCTGTGAAGTCGTGGACGCAACCAGCACAGCCCCTCCGCTCACTTGGCCCTTCTCTTTCTCCTCCTTCTCCTTCTCTTTTTTGGCCAATTCCTGGGGTCATAAGCAGAGCATTTGGGGAGTTGTGGGTCTCAGTCGGAGAAATACTGCCCATAATGGTGCTCCATGCAGTCATGCTTGGGTGGACAGTGAGCCAGGCTGAAGGTCAGGTGCTCACCCCAACCCAGGCTTCGAACTGCTAACCTTTTGATTGGTATGATGTATTGCTGCTGGTAATTGAGCTCCATGCAGTCATGCCGGCCACATGACCTTGGAGGTGTCTACGGACAACGCCGGCTCTTTAGCTTGGAAATGGAGATGAGCACCAACCCTCAGAGTCGGACACAACTGGACTTAATGTCAGGGGAAAACCTTTACCTTAAATACTGCCTAGGTGTGCAAATGGTTCACAATGGATCAATGCAATACCTCCCGTTCAAGGCTCCTTTGAAGTAGATTCCCCTAAGACAGTGGTTCTCAACCTGTGGGTCCCCAGATGTTTTGGCCTTCAATTTCCAAATATCCTGGGGTTTATGGAGTTGTAGTGCAAAACACCTGTGCTATTCTAACAATGTAATATAATGTAATCTATATATATAAAAATGCTCTGTGCATAATGAGTACCTTGATTTTGTCATTTGGGAGTTGTAGTTGCTGGGATTTATAGTTCACCTACAATCAAAGGGCATTCTGAACTCCACCAATGATGGAATCAAATCAAATTTGGCACACAGCTTGTTGTTGTTCATTCGTTCAGTCGTCTCCGACTCTTCGTGACCTCATGGACCAGCCTACGCCAGAGCTCCTTGTCGGCCGTTACCACCCCCAGCTCCCTCAAGGTCAGTCCAGTCACTTCAAGGATGCCATCCATCCATCTTGCCCTTGGTCGGCCCCTCTTCCTTTTGCCTTCCACTTTCCCCAGCATCATTGTCTTCTCTAGGCTTTCCTGTCTCCTCATGATGTGGTCAAAGTACTTCAACTTTGTCTCTAGTATCTTTCCCTCCAGTGAGCAGTCGGGCTTTATTTCCTGGAGGATGGACTGGTTGGATCTTCTCGCAGTCCAAGGCACTCTCAGCACTTTCCTCCAACACCACAGCTCAAAAGCATCGATCTTCCTTCGCTCAGCCTTCCCTAAGGTCCAGCTCTCACATCCGTAGGTTACTACAGGGAATACCATGGCTTTGACAAGGCGGATCTTTGTTGCCAGTCTGATGTCTCTACTCTTCACTATTTTATCGAGACTGGACATTGCTCTCCTCCCAAGAAGTAAGCGTCTTCTGATTTCCTGGCTACAGTCTGCATCTGCAGTAATCTTTGCACCTAGAAATACAAAGTCTGTCACGGCCTCCACGTTTTCTCCCTCTATTTTCCAGTTGTCAATCATTCTTGTTGCCATAATCTTGGTTTTTTTGACGTTTAGCTGCAACCCGGCTTTTGCGCTTTCTTCTTTCACCTTGATTAGAAGGCTCCTCAGCTCCTCCTCGCTTTCGGCCACCAGAGTGGTGTCATCTGCATATCTGAGGTTGTTAATGTTTCTTCCAGCAATTTTCACCCCAGCTTTGCATTCATCCAGCCCCGCACATCGCATGATGTGTTCTGCATACAAGTTAAAAAGGTTGGGTGAGAGTATGCAAGCCTTGCCGTACGCCTTTCCCAATCTTGAACCAGTCTGTTGTTCCGTGGTCAGTTCTGACTGTTGCTACTTGGTCCTTGTACAGATTCCTCAGGAGAGAGACAAGGTGGCTTGGTATGCCCATCCCACCAAGAACTTTCCACAATTTATTATGATCCACACAGTCAAAGGCTTTAGAATAGTCAATGAAGCAGAAATAGATGTTTTTCTGAAACTCCCTGCCTTTCTCCATTATCCAGCGGATATTGGCAATCTGGTCTCTCGTTCCTCTGCCTTTTCTAAACCCAGCTTGAACATCTGGCAACTCTCTCTCCATGTCTCGCTAGAGTCTTCCTTGCAGGACCTTGAGCATTACCTTACTGGCATGAGACATAAGGGCCACTTTACGGAATTTTGAGCAGTCTTTAGCATTTCACTTTTTTGGTATGGGGATATAAGTTGATTTTTTCCAGTCTGATGGCCATTCTTGTGTTTTCCATATTTGCTGGCATATGGCATGCATCACCTTGACAGCATCATCTTTTAAGATTTTAAACAGTTCAGCTGGGATCCCGTCGTCTCCTGCTGCCTTGTTGTTAGCAATGCTTCTTAAGGCCCATGCAACCTCACTCCTCAGGATGTCTGGTTCTAATTCATTCACCACACCGTCAAAACTATCCTCAATATTATTATCCTTCCTATACAGATCTTCTGTATAGTCTCGCCACCTTCTCTTGATCTCTTCAGCTTCTGTTAGGTCCCTGCCATCTTTGTTTCTTATCATACCAATTTTTGCCTGAAATTTACCGCCAATGTTTCTAATTTTCTGGAAGAGGTCTCTTGTCCTTCCTATTCTGTTGTCTTCCTCCACTTCCATGCATTGCTTATTTAAAAATAGTTCCTTATCTCTTCTGGCTAACCTCTGGAATTGCGCATTTAACTGGGCATATCTCCCCTTTCCACTGTTTCCTTTTGCTCAACCAGTCCATCCTCCAGGAAATAAAGCCCGACTACTCATTGGAGGGAAGGATACTAGAGACAAAGTTGAAGTACTTGGCCACATCATGAGGAGACAGCAAAGCCTAGAGAAGACAATTATGCTGGGGAAGTGGAAGGTAAAAGGAAGAGGGGCCGACCAAGGGCAAGATGGATGGATGGCATCCTTGAAGTGACTGGACTGACCTTGAAGGAGCTGGGGGTGGTGACGGCCGACAGGGAGGTCTGGCGTGGGCTGGTCCATGAGGTCACGAAGAGTCGGAGACGACTGAACGAATGAACAACAACAACAGACCACATCAGCTCTAGTCCCCTTATCCCTGTTTCCTTATGCTTTCCTCCTTTCTTGGGCTACTTCCAGTGTCTCAGCAGACAACCATTTTGCCTTCTTGGTTTTCTTTTTCTTTGGAACGTACTTTGTTGCCGCCTCCTGAACAATGTCGCGGACATCTGTCCATAGTTCTTCTGGGACTCTGTTTACTAAATCTAGTCCTTCAAATCTGTTCTTCACTTCCACTGTATATTCGCTAGGAATGTTAGTGAGATCATATCTAACTGGTCTGTGTATTTTCCCTGATCTCTTTAGTTTTATTCTAAATTTGGCAATAAGAAGTTCGTGATCTGAGCTACAGTCAGCCCCAGGTCTTGTTTTCACCGACTGGATGAATGTCTGCCACCTTTGGCTGCAAAGGATGTAGTCAATCTGATTTCGGTGTTGACCATCTGGTGAGGTCCATGTATAAAGCCGTCTTTTAGGTTGTTGGAAGAGATTTTCGTTATACACAGCGAGTTTTCCTGGCAAAATTCTATCAGCCTGCGTCCCGCTTCATTTTGTTCTCCCAGACCATGCTTGCCTGTGATCCCAGTTGTCAATTTGACTTCCCACCTTGGCATTCCAGTCTCCTGTAATGAAAATAATGTCTCTTTTTGGTGTATTATCCAGTAGGTCCTGCAGATCCTCATAGAACTGATCTACTTCTGCTTCTTCAGCAGCTGTGTTTGGGGCATATATTTGGATCACTGTAATGTTGAAAGGCTTTCCTTGCACTCGAATTGAGATCATTCTGTCATTTTTTGGGTTGTATCCAAGCACCGCTTTAGCGAATTTCTTATTAATTATGAAGGCTACTCCATTTCTTCGATGTTCCTCTTGTCCGCAGTAGTAGATCTGGTGGTCATCTGATGTGAAGTGGCCCATTCCAGTCCATTTCAGTTCGCTGACCCCCAGAATGTCTATCTTTAGTCTTGACATCTCACCAATAACAACATCCAATTTGCCCTGGCTCATAGATCTTACATTCCAGGTTCCTATGGTGTGTTGATCTTTAGAGCATCGGATTCATCGTTCGCCTCCAGTACCGTCGGCCGCTAGCTTTCCTTTCGGCTTTGAGCTAGCTGCGTCATCACATCTGGGGCTAGTTGAACTTATCCTCTGCTCCTCCCCAGTAGCATTTTGGCCATCTTCCGACCTGGGAGTCCCATCTTCCAATGGCATACCGACATATCTCTGGTTGTACTGGTCCATTTAGTTTTCTTGGCAAGGATACTGGAGTGGTTTGCCATTGCCTTCCCCAGGGATCACGCTTGGTCTGACCTCTCTGCCACAACCGTCCCGTCTTGGGTGGCCCTTCACGGTTTCGCTCATGACATCATTGAGGTGCTCAAGCTCCAGCGCCCCGACAAGGCGGTGATCCTTTGCTGGAGTGGCACACAGCACTCCCAGCAAAAAATACTGGAAGGGTTTGGTGGGCATTGACCTTGAGTTTTGGAGCTCTAGTTCATCTATAGCCAGAGAACACTCTGGACTCAATCAATGACAGAACTGGACCAAACTTGATGCAAATATTCAATATGCCCAAATGTGAACACTGGTGGAGTTTGGGGAAAATAGACCTTGACATTTGAGAGTTGTAGTTACTGGGATTTATAGTTCAGCTACAATCAAAGAGCATTCTGAACTTCACCAGCGATGGAACTGAACCAAACTTGGTACAAAGAACTACCATGACCAACAGAAAATACTGGAAGGGTTTGTCGAGCACTGACCTTGAATTTTGGAGTTGTAGTTCACCTATATCCAAAGAGCACTGTTGACTCAGACAATTAAGGAATCTGGACCAAACTTGGCACGGATACCCAATATGCCCAAATGTGAACACTGGTGGAATTTGGGGAAAATAGATCTTGACATTAGGGAGATGTAATTGCTGGGATTTATAGTTTACCTACAACCAAAGAGCATTCTGAACCCCACCAATGATAGAAGTGGGTCAAACTTCCCACACAGGTCTCCCAGGGAGTCACTCGCATGAACCTCCCTCCAGTCTCACATGCCCTCCTTTGCCTGCACATGTGCACCACACTCCCATGCGCTGAGCATGCCTGCTCTCCCCTCCCTGCTTAGAGTATCAGAAACAGCCTTCCCCTTGGCTGAGAGGCCAGCCAATCACAGCGGAGGAGGGTTTTTGGTGGGAGGATTTGCCCTCTGTTTCCAAAAAGGAAAAGGACAGGCGGCGAGATCGTCAGCCTTCTTTGCCAAAGGGGTTCCTAAGACCATCAGAAATATATGTTTTCTGATGGTCTTTGGCATCCCCTCTGAAACCCCCTCCCCAAGTTGAGAAACGCTGATCTATATGATCACAGGAGCACCTACAGAGAAGACTGGAAAGCTGCTGGGATGGGCTAGAAAGTGAGTTTCTGGAGCTGCTTCCTTTGGAAAACGGCTCCTGGCTTCTTCCTGTGCCTCACCTTATCCTTCTTCTTGTTGGTGGCTTTCGTGGTCTTCACGATCAGCTTGTCGATGGCTGTGTTGCTAACGTGGCTGGAAGGACGCTCGCTTTTCAGTTCCATGTGTCGCTGGGGCTGGGGAGAAAGGAACGGGCATGAGAGGCAAGGGACTGCTGGCAATAGGGCTCTGGGGTGGTAGATTGGAGTAAGATATCTTCTGAGTAGCTGCTGCATTTCCCACCTTCAGCTTATACTTGAGTCAATCCATTTTCCCAGTATATTGGGTTAAAATTAGCTTATATTCGGGTCAGCTTATACTCAAGTATCTATGGGTACATCCATTATTAAAATCACAAAATCCACAGTCGTAATTCAGGGCCATTCCAATTGTCATTGCACAGATTCAACATTCAATTATTGCACTGCAGTTACTCTCCAAAAGCTTGGTACCATAGCCATGTTTTAGCTTTCTTTCTGAAGGCTAGAAGGGAAGGAGCTGATCAGATATCACTGGATGGAGATCCACAGCCGAGGGGCCACCACTGAGAAGGCCCCGTCTCTCATTCCCACCAACCACGCCTGTGAAGGAGGTGGGATTGAGAGCAGGGCCTCTCCAGAAGATCTTAATGTCCGAGATGGTTCATAGGGGGAGATACAGGCTAGAAGGTAAGGAGCCGATTGGATATAACTGGGGAGGGAGTTCCACAGCCAATGGGCCACCACTGAGAAGGCCCCATATCTTGTTCCCAACAAGCCCACCTGTGCAGGAGGTGGGACTAAGCAGGGCCTCCTCAGAAGATCTTAGATGATTCATAGAGTGAGATAAAGGCTAGAAGGTAAGGAGCTGATTGGATATAACTGGGGAGAGAGTTCCAGAGCCAAAGGGCCACCACTGAGAAGCCCCCGTCTCTTGTTCCCACCAATCACGCCTGTGAAGGAGGTGGGACCGAGAGCAGAGCCTCCCCAGAAGATCTTAATGTCCGAGATGGTTCATAGGGGGAGATACAGGCTAGAAGGTAAGGAGCTGATCGGATATCCCTGAGGAGGGAGTTCCACAGCCGATGGGCCACCACTTAGAAGGCCCGGTCTCTCGTTCCCACCAATCACACCTGTGAAAGAGGTGAGACTGAGAGCAGGACGTCTCCATAATATCTTAATGTCCAAGATGGTTCATAGAGGGAGATACGTTCAGATGGGTAAGCTGGGCCAGGCAGTGGTTCTCAATCTGTGGGTCCCCAGATGTTTTGGCCTTCAACTCCCAGAAATCCTAACAGCTGGTAAACTGGCTAAGATTTCTGGGAGTTGCAGGCCAAAACACCTGGGGATCCATAGGTTGAGAAGCACTGGTTTAGGGCTTTATAGACTGGCAGCTAGTGGAACTGGCGTCACGGGGGTTATATGCTCCCTGTACGCCACTCTGGTGAGCAATCTGGCTGGCGTCCATCAGACCACTTGAAGCTTCCAAACAGTCTTCAAAGGCCACCCCTTGTAGAGCTGCAGTAGTCTATCCTGGATGTAACAAGACTGTGGACTACCATGGCCAAGTCTGACTTCTTAAAGTATGGGCACAACTGGCACACAAGTTTTAATTGTGCGAATGCTCCGCTGGCCACCTCTGAAACGTGGGCTTCCAGGCTCTATGATGAATCCAGGAGAGCTCCCAAGCTGCGAACCTGTGACTTCAAGGGGAGTGTAACCCCATCAAGCTCAGGCTGTAACCTTATACCTTGTTTGGCTTTGAACTAACCAGGAGTACCTCTGTCTTGTCTGGATTCAGTTCCAATTCAGTTTGCCCTCATCCAGACTGTCCCAGCTGCCAAGCGCCAGTTTGGGACCTGAACAGCCTCCTTAGTAACAGGTGGGAAGGAGTGATAGAGTTGGGTGTCATCTGCGTACATGTGACATCAAACTCCAAAACTCCAGATGATCTCTCCCAATGGCTTCATGTAGATGTTAAGCAACACGCAGCAGGTTGGCAGTGCCAAGTCCAGCAGGGAGAGGAGGAAAGGGGGTTTCTTGTTCTGGGGCAGCAGGCTTTTCCCACTTGATCTATTGGGGAAACCTCACCAGGCGGCTTCGTTCCAGAGTCTCCTTCTCCAGCAGCAGCCGTCGCCTCTCTACCACCTCTACGTGAGTGAGAGCAAAAGGGGCAAGGATCTATGGGGCAAACAGAGGTGGAGGAAAGCATGGTCAATGGAGTCCCTCCTCAACAGCTCCCATGCCCTGTGTGTGACCTCCTTTTCCCATCGGTCATATCCAAACAGAGAAGAGGTCTCCGTCCTTGGGCACAATGACAGAATCTCACCCCAAACACCCCCCAGGCTTTATGGGGCACAGGTTAACCAGGTTACCTCCGCAATCTTCAGGGCACCTTCGTCGCCAATCCGGTTATGCGCTAATGACAAGGAGAGCAGTGAGCGGTTGAGGCGCAAACCCTACACCGGACGAACCAGAAGTAAGACATGGAAGGAAAAGGTGTGTAAGTGTATGGGAACGATAAACAGACCCCGTTCCCCCATCTTGTTTTTGGTTTCTGGGATTGGAGATGGAGAGAGTCACCCTCTCACCCGCACCCAAGGCTCACGTTGGCAATGTGAGCGGCCCCGACGTCTGTGATGTGGTTGCAGCTGAGATTGATCGAAGCCAAGGTCTTGTTGGAGCTTTTGAGAGAGGAGAGCGCCTGGCCAATAAGATAGGCCCCTTCGTCGTCAATGTCATTGTTCCTCAGGGAGAGGTGGGCCAAGCTGGGGAGAGTCATAGAGGGTGGAAAAAAAGAGTCACCTCAGCTACAGAGAGCAAAGTCGGGTTTTAGCACAGCTGGTTAATCACCAGCAACAATAAATCTTTCCCAACCAAAAGGCTGGCTGTTCGAGCCCAGATTGGGGTGAACACCCCACCTTCAGCCTAGCTTACTGTTCACTAGGTCAGTGTTTCTCAACCTTCCTAATGCCGCAGCCCCTTAATACAGTTCTTCGTGTTGTGGTGACCCCCCAACCATAATATTTTTGTTGCTACTTCAAAACTGCCATTTTCCTACTGTTATGAATCATCATGTAAATATCTGATGTGAAGGGTATATTTTCATTCACTGGACCAAATTTGGTACAAATACCCGATATGCCCACACTTGAATGCTGGTGGGGTTGGGGGGGGATTGATTTTGTCATTTGGAGTTGTAGTTGCTGGGATTTATAGTTCACCTACAATCAAAGAGCATTCTGAACTCCACCAAGATGGAATTGAACCAATCTTGGCACACAGAATATCCATGACCAACGGAAAATACCGGAAGGGTTTGGTGGACATTGACCTTGAGTTTGGGAATTGTAGTTCACGTACATCCAGGGAGCACTGTGGACTCAAAGAATGATGGATCCGGATCAAACTTGGCACAATTACTCAATATGCCCAAATGTGAACACTGGTGCCCCCCCCCCCCCCCAATTCCACCCTCTCCCCTTGGTCCTCACTTGGTCTCCTCGGAGATCAGCTTGTAGAAAGATCGCTCCGGCAGCGGGTTGCCTTCCAGAACCAGGGTCCTACAGCAACGTAAGGAGATGTGGGGGACAAACAATGTAGACAGGCCTCCTCCCCGTCTTGCCTCCTCTGCACCCTCTGGCACCAACCTGAGCACATTTGGGCTGTTAGTGTATTAACAGGATGGGATTATGGAAGTCTGGGGTGTTCTTATGCCCTTCAGATAGATACTTTTGGGCCTGGAGCCAGAAAATATCCAATATCCAGAAAATATCAGATTGGCACTGCCAACCTAACAGCCCCCTAAAGCCTCCCACCCTTGCCATAGCCCTGTCTATACGAGGTTTGAGTGAAAAGTGATGCCTCCACCTTTGTAACTCCTCAACAGATGGCAGTACTGGTATGCGGCAGGTACTGGTTTGTTTAGTAGACTCTCCTCTACAGTTCCATTTTGGCGGGAAGCCTTAGCATTGAATGGTTGTGTTGTTAAAGTGCACAGATGGTCAGTCAATGCGACTTAAGCAACGTGCAGTCATTGAATTCTTGACAGCAGAAGGTGTCACCCCAAAGGAGATTTATCAGAGAATGCAAGCTGTTTATGGGGATTGTATTGACTCTGGTTGTGGAAACAGAGTGTCGACTTCTTCCGTGACGGTTCCAGAAAACTTGTTCATTGTTGGCAGAAATGTATCCAATTGTCTGGTGATTATGTGGAAAAGTGAATAGTGGTAGTTAAAGAGCACATTCTAAGGATTATTTCTGCGTTTGATTTATTAAAATATTCCCATCCAAATCCAAGTAATGAAAGTGGAGGCATTACTTTTCATTCAACCCTTGGTTTGGCCTCAAAGACTCCAGAACATTCAACATGTTCTTGCTCCAAACGATGGAAGGTGTTGCCCCTCAATACCCAGAGAAGACCTTTTGTCCAGCCTTGTCTTGTCCTGGAAGAAGCCGGCCCCTTCCCCATTGTCCCCACTGCTTACTTGAGGGTGGGGCAGGTTGGGAAGATGGCGAGGAGCAAGGAGAAGGTGAGATCTGTCAGGCCGACCTTCCAGAGGCTGAAAGGGAAAGCAGAGCTGAATAGGAGCAATAGAAGCAAAGCTATCTGTGCCAGAAATGAGTGCATACCCCATAAGAGCAGAATTTGAAGCCTTGGCATTTTTGAAAACTCTGTTTCTATAGGGTCTCCCACCCAAGTCTCCAACTTACCGAAGGGTTTGGAGGTGGCTGAGAGCAGGCAGGCATTTGGCCAGGACAGTCAGCATCTTCTCCTCAATCTTCCAACCTCCAGAGAGAGAAAAGAGTTGGCTCTCAAGACTCTGGTTCTTCCTGCAGACTCAAAAGAACCTGATGTGGCATGAGAAGACCCCTCACTCACTCTGGATGAAGATCTCCCGGGTGCTCTTGGGGTCCTCATGCTCCAGCTCTACCTGGACGCTGGGGCGGAAGTAGTTGTACTTGCTCTGGATCTGGGCCAGAGTGTTGGTGACTTCCTTCTCAGATTGCGGGTCGGGCTCCTCTGTGAAGGCAGGCAATGCTCCCCATTAATCCCCAAATTGGTAATACGTTAGTTAATACTCCAAAAGTTGAGGTGCAAATGGAACCAGACTTTTTTTTGGTTGAGAATGATGGAGGACAACAAAATACGAAAGAATTTTATTCTGTGTGCTGAATGTGTCTAGACTCATTAATGCTACAATACAATCCCAACAGCAGATTGTTGAAGCCATGTCACCGAAATGCATACATTGACCAGATTAATCAAAAAGGAATCATTAGAAAACTTGGATAAAATACTGGAATATTTTGATTATATATTTGAGATAATGATGAGGGAAATTCCTGGAATAGGCAGTAAGAGCACAGAGAATTCTGTTCAACCATTTCAAAGCTCCCTGCTTGAGCGGTGATGGCATGATCGTCAGCATAGAGGAAACTCTGTCCCTTTTGGCAGTATGATAATCCAGTGCTGCATTATCACAGGATGTCTACGCCCAACAACACTAGAAATGTTATACTGTTTAGCCCAGTAGTTCCCAACCTGTTTTTGACCAGGGATTACTTTGGCTGGGGACCACTTATCAAAGGGACCACTTTGATCAGGGACCACTTGATGAGGGACCACTTTGATCAGGGACCACTTTGACCAGAGACCACTTTGATCAGGGACCACTTGTCCAGGGACCACTTGTCCAGGACCACTTTGACGAAGGACCACTGTGACCAGGGACCACTTTGACCAAGGACCACTGTGACCAGGGGCCACTTTGAGCAGAGACCACTCGCTATCATCAGTACCAAATAAGTTTTGGGTCAACTTTAGATTCGGTTTGGGGTGCTGATTCAGAAAATTGCATTGGATAGACCACATCAGCACTAGTTTCTGATACAGAACATATGCCATGGTCAGCAACAGGGAAAGAGTAGCAGGTGGCATGAACAGACCTTCAAATGAACAGGAGGATGTGAAAGTCTTGTTTTGTAATGCCTCTTGACTGTATCTCTGTGTGTCCGTTTGGACAGTTACATATTAATGTTAGTACTACATGATCTATAAATAAGATAAACAACTTGTCTAATAGACACCCATGAAATCATTCCATTTTCCATGAATTTCCTTCACAACTTTCCCAACAAGTTAAACATGAGCCAACAATGTGATGTGGCGGTAAAAAAAAGCCAGTGGGATTGTGGCCTGCATCAATAGGAGCATAGTGTCTAGATCTAGGGAAGTCATGCTACCCCTCTATTCCGTTTTGGTTAGACCACACCTGGAATATTGTGTCCAATTCTGGGCACCACAATTCAAGAGAGATATTGACAAGCTGGAATGTGTCCAGAGGAGGGCGACTAAAATGATCAAGGGTCTGGAGAACAAGCCCTATGAGGAGCGGCTTAAGGAGCTGGACAGGTTTAGCCTGAAGAAGAGAAGGATGAGAGGAGATATGATAGCCATGTATAAATATGTGAGAGGAAGCCACAGGGAGGAGGGAGCAAGCTTGTTTTCTGCTGCCCTGGAGACTAGGATGCGGAACAATGGCTTCAAACGACAAGAAAGGAGATTCCATCTGAACATGAGGAAGAACTTCCTGACTGTGAGAGCCATTCAGCAGTGGAACTCTCTGCCCCGGGGTGTAGTGGAGGCTCCTTCTTTGGAGGCTTTTAAACAGAGGCCAGATGGCCATCTGTCAGGGGTGATTTGAATGCAATATTCCTGCTTCTTGGCAGAATGGGGTTGGACTGGATGGCCCATGAGGTCTCTTCCACCTCTTTGATTCTATGATTCTACTTAATCTTTCCGGACAATGCAATCCGTTTTCGGCTCTGATTTGTAAATAAAGACTTTTGTTGATCTCTGAAGCTACAGGTGAATTATCATGGGAACCCTCCTTATCACTCAGCTCTTCACTCAATTCCTTATCTGCTGTTGCTACTTCTGACTCCCCTGAATGCCCTTGAGGCCCTGCACTTTCTGAGTCGGTTTTCTCACAGAGAGAACCATCGTTTCCCAGACTTGAATTTCCCAGACTTGAGAGCCCATCGCTTTGTGCCACAGGAAAGCTCACAAGCTGTCACAACCCCTTCTCATGAATGTTCTCTCTCTCAGCCTCAGTCACTCTCTAAAATAGGAATAACTGAGACATGCTTCAAAGGGTAAACCATGGAAGAAAAGGTGCCAATGCTACAGAAAGGTAAACAATTCCAATATGATGTTTCCTCATCCATGGGGGGTGCACTCATCTATGCACAGACGGGTGCACTTTCTTGGCTACTCACCTATGGCAGCGGTGCCGGCATGAGCGTGTGGCCGCACAATGACTTTTGGGATTTCTTGAAATCCAGCTCGGGTGCAGAGCTCAATGAAATCCTGCTCCAGGATCCCTGTGCACTGGTACTCTTCTGGGAGGAGAATCGAAAATGCTCAAAGTCATGGCTCTTAATAAACTTTTCCACTCGGAACCACTTTCCACCCAAGAATGTTTTACGTGAACCCCATAATAAAAGTTAAAATGTGTATGTGGCTGGGGTGCCCACTTACACAGAGAAGCTCCTGCCTCCACAAAAAAACTATAGCTCTCATTACTCAGGAGACATCAAAGGTCTTTCATCCAATGACATTGCAGGTTATAGCGAGCGCCATAAACATGTCCAAGAGCCCTGGCAATGTCTTCCACAAACACCATACTGCCCACCACCCAAGTGAAGGCTTTCATTCGGGGACAATTTCATCCTAGATTTTATGTGTTTCCTCCACCATAGGCATCCCAGTGTTTCTGACTCCCTCCATTGGTGTTGAATTTGCATGACCCCGTCCACCGCCTCTTCCTTAATCCTTTCCTATTATTTTCTATGGTACCCAACAAACAGAGGAATTGATCAGCAACTGAACATAATAGAGATGTTTGGGGAGAATTCATGATTTATAGGAGTTGTAGGTCCTGGGATGTATAGTTCACCTGCAATCTAAGAGCACTCTGAACTCCACCAGCGATGGACCTGGAACTAACCTGGCACACAGAACCCCCATGACCAGCAAAATATACTGGAGGCCTTTGGAGGCGTTTATAGGAGTTGTAGTTCACCTACATCTGGAGAGCACGATGAACCCAAACAATTATGGATCTGGATTAAACTTGGCATGCATATGCCCAAATTGGAATGCTGGTGGGTTTGGAGGGGAATTGGCCTGGACATTTTGGAGTTGTAGGTACTGGGATTTATAGTTCACCTGCAATCAATGAGCACTTTGAACTCCAGCAAAGATGGAATTGGACCAAACTTGGCACATAGAGCCCCTTGGCCAGCAAAAAATATTGGAGGTCTCTGGGGTAAATGTACCTTGATTTGGGGGAGTTGTAGTTCACCTACATCCAGAGTGCACTACGAACCTAAACAAGGATGGATCTGAACCAAAGTTGGTATGCATACCCGATATGCCCAAATTTGAATCCTGGTAGGTTTGGAGGGGAATTGGCGTGGACATTTTAGAGGTACTGGGATTTATAGTTCACCTGAAATCAATGAGCACTCTGAACTCCACCAAAGATGGAATTGGACCAAACTGGGCACACAGAGCCCCCATGACCAGCAAAAAATACTGGAGGTCTCTGGGGGAAATGCACCTTGATTTGAGGGAGTTGTAGTTCACCTACACCCACTTGATGGCATTCAGGAACCTTTCATTGTTGGCAACATTGAGCTAAAGGGACTTCATTTAGGGTCGGGATACTTTGGGAATTTAGGACCTCCATGTATACGCAGTGGGAGTGCTGTAAGTGTGAATCTGCTCTCACATATGGGACTTATTGTGGGAAATAGCCACAGCCAGCCTTGAGTGTATGGAATTGGCCTTCGCAGCCCTACCTTCCCCGTGCTCTGCCCTTCTGGCGGCATTCCTGGCTTCCTCTTCAAGGGCCGCATTCTTGTCCTTGGCTCCCCGTTCGCCCTTCTTCCCCATGACGCCGCCTTCCCTCCTTTGCGGATTGTATTGTCACAAAGCAGGGAAACATTGAGCGAAGGGGGTGCGATGAAGTGCCCCCTAAAAAAGCATGGAGACCAAAAGCTGTGGGGTAGACAGTCTCTGTCGGGAGAACGAGAAACCTGTGGGAAAAGCAACACTTCAAATCAGACATGACAACGACACACACAATGTGCTACGTATCATGCAGTGTGGACTGGATGACCCACAAGGTCTCTTCCAACTCTATAAGTCTATGTCATAAAATCCAAACGTTGGAAGGGGTCCCAACGTTAGACTTCGATGGTATCCTCCTGCCTGGCAGAATGGGGGTTGGACTAGATGGCTATTAGAGGGCTTTTCCAACTAGCATTTTAGGATTCAGAGGCTGGGTGGCCATCTTTCGGGAGGGCTTTGATGGTGTCTTCCTGCCTGGCAGAATGGGGGCTGGACTAGATGGTCATTGGAGGGCTTTTCCAACTAGCATTTTAGGATTCAGAGGCTGGGTGGCCATCTGTCGGGAGGGCTTTGATGGTGTCTTCCTGATAGCAGAATAGGGTTGGACTGGATGGCCTTTTGGGACCCTTAAATCTCTAGGACGTAGTAATAACAATGGCGGAGTTTCCTTACATGAAGGTTTTCAAGCAGAGGCTGGATGGCCATCTGCCGGGAGGGCTTTAATGGTGTCCTCCTACTTGGCAGAATGGAGGTTGGACTAGATGCCCTTTGAGGTCCCTCCCAACTCTTAAGATTCAATACAAACAATATGTGCCCCTTCAATAATAGTAGTGGTAATGGAGTCTCCTTAAATGGAGGTGTTCAAGCAGAGGCTGGATGGCCATCTGCTGGGAGTGCTTTGATGGTGACCTCCTGCCTGGCAGAACGGGGGTTGGACTAGATCGCCATTGGAGGACTCTTCCAACTAGCATTTTATGATTTACAGGCTGGGTGGCCATCTGTCGGGAGGGCTTTGATGGCATCTCCCTGCATAGCAGAATAGGGTTGGACTGGATGGCCTTTGGGGTCCCTTCTATCTCTAGGATTCAATAATAATAATAATAATAATAATAATAATAATAATAGTGGTGGTAATGGTTTTCCTTACATGGAGATTTTCAAGCAGAGGCTGGATGGCCATCTGTCAGGAGGGCTTTGATGGTATAGCAGAATAGGGTTGGACTGGATGCCCTTTGGGGTCCCTTCCATCTCTAGGATTCAATAATAATAATAATAGTGGTGGTAATGGATTTTCCTTACATTGAGATTTTCAAGCAGAGGCTGGATGGCCATCTGTCGGGAGGGCTTTGATGGTATAGCAGAATAGGGTTGGACTGGATGCCCTTTGGGGTCCCTTCCATCTCTAGGATTCAATAATAATAGTGGTGGTAATGGAGTCTCTTTACATGGAGATGTTCAAGTAGAGGCTGGATGGCCATCTGTCGGGAGGGCTTTGGTGGTGTTTTGCTGCCAGGCAGAAGGGGTTGGACTGGATGGCCTTTAGGGGGACTCTTCCTATGAGATGGCAATTAGGACTCACTCGGACTGAGAAGGAAGGGCTCTCTCTGCAGACACTCGTGGGTTTATCCCCTCGCAGTCTCCATCCACTTGGGTATGGCGCCGCCGCCTTGGCAACCGGGGACTCGCCAAGCAAGGGGCGGGGCTTCCAGGCTGCAATTGGGCAGATCGGCCACTTGGGGGCGGCAAAGGACAGTCAATGGGAGACCCCAGCACGCTCTCGCTTCCTTCCATTAAGGAATGAATAGACTGCCATCATCATCATCATTGTTATTGTTATTGTTGTTTGATACACAACAAGATTAGTACACAGCAAATAAGATCACTCTGCTGGCTTTTGTATTGGACTAGATGATGTATGGGCGAATAATGCGCTCTTTAAACTGGATTGTATGACTCTACATTGCCAGATAATCTGGGATAAACAGAAATAATATAATATATTATTATAATATATTGTTCTATTATATTATGAGTCTACAGTAAAGATTCTACATTATATTATATATTTATTATTTTATATATAGAGTTCTATTATTTATTGTTATTTTATATGTTCTTTAGTATTATTGTATATATTAAATAAATATATTAGTATTTTACTTTATATTATGTATTATATCACTGTATTATATGTCTACAGTAATAATAATGTATATCACTGTATTATATGAGTCTACAGTAATAATATATGTTAATATATTATTATTACTGTAGACCAGAGGTCCTCAAACTTTTTAAACAGAGGGCCAGGTCACAGTCCCTCAGGAGGGCCGGATTATAGTTTGAAGAAAAAGAAAAAAAGAATTTCTATACACACTGCACATATCTTATTTGTAGTGCAAAAAACACTTTAAAACAATACAATAATTAAAATGAAGATCCATTTTAATAAATATAAACTTCTTAGTATTTCAGTGGGACGAGTGAGTCTGCTTTTGGCTGATGAGGATGGGGTTGTTGTTGTGTGCTTTCAAGTCATTTTAGACTTAGGTTGACCCTGAGCGAGGGCCGGATAAATGACCTTGGAGGGCCGTATCCAGCCCCCCGGGCCTTAGTTTGAGGACCCCTGCTGTACACTCATATAATACAGTGATATAATATATAATATATTGCTCTATTAGATTATGAGTCTGAAGACTCATATAATACAGTGATATAATATATAATACATTGCTCTATTATATTATATTATATTATATTACAGTGATAATATAATATATAATAATATATAATATAATATTAAATAACAGTATATTATTCATACAATATATAAAATAATAAATATATATATAATAATAAATAATGGAACTATTATATACAAAATAATAAATATATAATGTAATGTGGAGTCATAATATAATAGAGACTGTAGACTCATAATATAATAGAGCAATATATTATATATTATCTCACTGTATTATATGAGTCTACAGTAATAATAATATAGGTAAAGGTAAAGGTAGTCCCCTGACATTAAGTCCAAGTCATGTCTGACTCTGGGGTGTGGTGCTCATCTCCATTTCTAAGCCGAAGAGCCAGCGTTGTCCGTAGACACCTCCAAGGTCATGTGGCCGGCATGACTGCATGGAGCGCCGTTACCTTCCTGCCGGAGCGGTACCTATTGATCTACTCACATTTGCATGTTTTCGAACTGCTAGGTTGGCAGAAGCTAGGGCTGACAGCGGAAGCTCACGCCGCTCCCCGGAATCGAACCTGCGACCTTTCGATCAACAAGCTCAGCAGCTCAGTGCTTTAAACCACTGCGCCACCGGGGGCTCCTAACATAATAATATATGTTAAATAAAATAATGCAAAATATGTATTATTATACTATATTACTCTATTATATATATAATCAATAAAATATATAATATAGTAGTGTAGAGAATACTTTAGACTCATAATTGAGTAATATTAAATATAATTGACAATAATATATATTTATTATTATATTACTCTATTATGAGTCTACAGTATAGACTACATTATATATTTATTAATTTATATATAATAGAGTAATATATTATATTATATTATATTTTATATTACTCTGAGTCTACAGCATTCTCTATACTATTATATATTGATTACATTAATATAATATAATACAATATAATACAACATAATATAATAATATATACTGTATTATGTATAATAGAGTAATATAATAACATAATATATATAATGTAAGTCTTTATTTAATATATATTACTAGACACATATAATATAATACTCATATAATATAATAGAGTAATATATTCGATTTTAGTATGATGACTGACCACTGTAGTTTTAAATATATGTGCTTTTTAAATGTTTTATTGTAATGTGTATTTTGATATTTTACTGATTGTATGTGTTTTTATGATTGGAAACCGGGCTGAGTCCCTCTTATGAGGTGAGAAGCTCGGTATATAAAACTTTGAAATAATAAATAAATAATAGAGTGATATATCCTATATAATATATATTACAATATATTATATAATGTATATTATATTATATTGCTGTATTATTTGAGTCTACAGTAATATAATTAATATAAAATCATATATTTTATATATTATATTATGATCTTGTATATAATATAATCAATATATATAATCGTGTAGTGTCTATACTATAGACTCACATACTTCAATAGAGTAATATAAAATAATATTATTATATATAATAGTTTATAATATATTATAAACTATATAATATATTATATATATTATTCTATATATAATAATAGATTAGTTTATATATATTATAAACTAATATATTATTATATATAAAATAATGGATATATGTAATAGAGTCTAAATTGCAGACTCCTATAATGTAATAGAGTAATATAATATAATATAATATAATATAATATAATATAATATAATATAATATAATATAATATAATATAATATAATATAATATAATATAATATAATATAATATAATATAATATAATATAATAATATCCAAACTATGTCACAAGATTTCCAAAGTGCAAGGCTTGTCAATGGTTGACAAGGCTTGCCAGTGAGGGGCAAGATGGCGGCGACTCGAGAACTACGACTCCCAGAATGCCTCAGCGGGCGCGTCCAAGGCACGCCGCCGCCCTGGGCTGCTGGGAGTCGTAGTCCGGAGACGCTTCCTTGGGCCTAGGCGAGCCCGGTGGCCTTCGGAGGCTTCTGGCGACCGAGTGAGTGGCTTTGCTTCCTTCCTTCCTTCCTTCCTCTGTTTCCCGGCTTCCCGGAAATGGCGACGTCGACGGACCCAGAGCTGGAGGAGTTGCTTGAAAGTAAGTAAGGCGGGAATACCCCAGTTGGGGCTTTGGAGGGGAGTTTGGAACAGGAGCCTTAGGAGACCAGACTCCCAGGCAGAGAGTTCCACTGCTGAACAGCTCTTCTTACAGTCAGGAAGTTCTTCCTAATCATAGAGTTGGAAGAGACCACCGAGGCTATCTAGTCCAACCCCCTGCCAGGCAGGAAAAACACAATCAAAGCCCTCCTGACAAATGGCCATCCAGCCTCTGTTTAAAGGCCTCCAATGAAGGAGCTTATACCAGACTCTGAGGCAGAGAGTTCCGCTGTTAAACAGTTCTCCTTACAGTCAAGAAGGTCTTCCTAATCATAGAATAATAGATTTGAAGAGAGCACCTAGGCCATCTAGTTCCCCTGACAGATGGCCATCCAACCTCTGTTTGAAAGCTTCCACCAGACCCTGAGGCAGAGAATTTCACTGCTGAACAGCTCTTCTTACAGTCAGGAAGTTTTTCCTAATGATAGAATAATACAGTTGGAAGAGAGCACCGTCCTAGGCCATCTAGTCCAACCCCCTGCCTGGCAAGAAAAGCACAAAGCCCCCCTGACAGATGGCCATCCAGCCTCTGTTTGAAAACTTCCACCAGACTTCGAAGCAGAGAGTTCCACTGCTGAACAGCTCTTCTTACAGTCTGGAGGTTCTTACTAATCGTAGAGTTAGAAGAGACCACCGAGGCCATCTAGTCCAACCCCTTGACATGCAGGAGAAGCTCAATAACACCCTACCCCCCTGACAGATGGCCAGCCTCTGTTTAAAAGCTTACGCCACACTCCAAGGCAGGGAGTTCCACTGCTGAACAGTCAGGAAGTTCTTCCCAGAATCATAGAGTTGGAATAGGTCACCTAGGCCATCTAGTCCAGCCCCCTGCCTGGCAGGAAAAACACAATCAAAACCCTCCTGACAGATGGCCATCCAGCCTCTATTTAAAGGCCTACAATGAAGGAGCGTATACCAGACTCTGAGGCAGAGAGTTCCGCTGTTAAACAGTTCATCTTACAGTCAAGAAGGTCTTCCTAATCATAGAATAATAGAGTTGGAAGAGACCCCATGGACCATCTAGTTCAATCCTCTGCCATACAAGAAAAGCACAATCAAAGCCCCACTGACAGATGGCCATCCAGTGTCTGTTTAAAGGCCTCCAAGGAAGGAGCTTCCACCAGACACTGAGGCAGAGAGTACCACTGTTAAACAGCTCTTCTTAGAGTCAGGAAGTTCTTCCTAATAATAGAATCATAGAGTTGGAAGAGACCCCCTGGGCCATCTAGTCCAATCCCCTGCTATACAGGAAAAACAGAATCAAAGCCCCACTGACAGATGGCCATCCAGAGTCAGTTTAAAGGCCTCCAGGGAAGGAGCTCCCACCAGACTCTGAGGCAGAGAGTTTCACTGTTATACAGTTCTTACAGTCAGGAAGTTCTTGGAGAACAATCCTCAGTGTGTACTTTTTTCTGCTCCTCCCCGATGCAGGTGCCCTTGATGACTTTGATAAGACCAAGCCCACTGCTGTGCCTCCCTCCTCCGCTGCCACAGTTGGGGACAACAGCAGCAGCAGCGCTGAGAAATCGCCGGGAGATGCGGCAAAAGTATGGAAAGTTAGATAAACTTTCAGTGCTGAGTGTTTTCTTCTGGAATGAATCCCTCATTCAGTAAGAGAGTAGAATTCAGAAAAATGTAATAGAACAGCGTTTCTCAACCTGAGGGTTGGGACCCCTGGTGGGAGGGGGTCATGAGGGTGTGTCACAGGGGTTGCCAAAGACCATCACAAACATATATTTATTTTATTTTTATTTTATTTATTCATTTTATTTTATTTATTTTTATTTCATTTATTTATTTCAGAGGGGTCACCAAAGACCATCAGAAAAATCTATTTCTGATGGTCTTAGGAACCCCTTTGGCAGAGAAGGCTGAAGATCTCTCCAACTGTTCTTCTTTTCCTTTGGCAAATCCTCCCACCAAAAGCCCTCCTCAACTGCGAGGGGAGGGCTGTTTCAGAGGCTCCAAGCAGGGAGGGGAGAGCAGGCGTGCTCATCGCATGGCAACATGGTGCGCATGTACAGGCGAGGGAGAGCGTATGAGGCTGGAGCGAGGTTCTCTCCAACGGGTCCCTTCAAGGCATGTGGGTTCTGTGTGGGAAGTTTGGCCAAATTCTATCGTTAGTAGGGTTCAAAATGCTCTTTGATTGTAGGCGAACTATAAATCCCAGCAACTACAATTCCCAAATGTCAAGGTCTAATTTTCGCAAACTCCACCAGTGTTCACAATTGGGCATATTGAATATTTGTGCCAAGTTTGGTCCAGACGATTCCTAACAGGAGCAAAACTACAGTTATGAAATAGCAATGCAAATAATATTATGGTTGGGGGTCATCATAGCATGCGGACCTGTATTAAGGGGTCGCAGCATTAGAAAGGTTGAGAAACACTGTAATAGAATCATTTAACTGAGCTGGCTTCTTGCTCCTTCTTCTCTTCCTAGGATTCCCTCTTTGCCTCCCAGGAGAAGTTCTTCCAGGACCTCTTTGACAGTGAGCTTGCTTCTCAGGCCACCGCCGAATTCGAGAAGGCCATGAAGGAGTTGGCTGAGGAGGAGCCCCACTTGGTCGAACAGTTCCAGAAGCTATCGGAGGCGGCGGGCCGAGTCGGTGAGTTGCTGACTGAGGGTGGGAAGCCTATGTTTTGAACTTTTTGGTTGCTGATGCAAAGCTTTGTTGGCGAGAGGCCAATCTCTGCCATTCAGGGAGCATTCCTGACCTATCCTTGGAGAAGTTACATAAAACATCTCTCTGTATGGAATTGGAATTAAGAGTTTCCCAGGCTGTATGGCCATGTCCCAGAAGCATTCTCTTCTGACGTTTCACCCACATCCATGGCAGGCATCCTCAGAGGTTGTGAAGTCTGTTGGAAACTGGGCAAGTGGGGTTTGTATATCTGTGGAATGATGTCCAGGGTGGGAGAAAGAACTCTTGTCTGCTTGAGGCAGGTGTGAATGTTGCCCTTGGTCACCTTGATTAGCATTGAATAGCCTGGCAGCTTCAAGGTCTGGCTGCTTCCTGCCTGGGTGAATCCCTTGTTGAGAGGTGATTCGCTTGCCCTGATTATTTCTTGTCTAGAATTCCCCTGTTTTCTGAATATTGCTCTTTATTGGAAACTAGGCAAGTGGGGTTTGTATATCTGTGGAATGATGTCCTGGGTGGACATCCTTCTTGTCTGTTGGAGGCAAGTGCAAATGTTGCAATTGGTCACCCTGATTAGCATTGAATAGCCTTGCAGCTTTAAAACCTGGCTGCTTCTTGCCTGGGGGACTTCTTTGTTGGGATCTGTTAGCTGGCCCTGATTGTTTCCTGTCAGGACTTCCACTGTTTTCTGAGATGGTCCAGGGTGGAAGAAAGAACTCTTGTCTGCTTGAGGCATGTATGAATGTTGCCCTTAGTCACCTTGATTAGCATTAAATAGCCTGGCAGTTTCAAGGTCTTGCTGCTTCCTGCTTGGGTGAATCATTTGTTGGGAGGTGATTAGCTGGCCCTGATTATTTCTTGTTTAGAATTCCCCTCTTTTCTGAGTGTTGCTCTTTATTGGAAACTATTGGAAACTTTACTTAAGTGATCCCTCGTAGTCCGAGGATGGTGATCCTCCAAGTGTAGTGTCCTGGAGGTGGGTCCGTAGGTGACTGTGGAGCGGTTCGAATCCAGGTAAAGCAGGTTGAGCTGTGTCTGTCAGCTCCAGCAACTCATGAGGGGACACGAGCAAAGCTTCCCACAAGCATGGTAAAACATCAAAACATTTGGGTGTCCCCTGGGCAACATCCTTGCAGACGGTCAATTCTCTCACACCAGAAGCAACTTGCAATTTCTCTAGTCGCTCCTAACACACACTTAGGCTATCCCTCGTTGTCTGAGTAGGATAATCCTCCAGGGTGGGTCCATAGGTGACTGTGGAGCCCTATTCTTGATTTGCATCTTCTCCCACAGTGAGGGCATTGGTTTCCAGGTGGAAGGCGGTCTCGGTCGGGGTTGGCTTGATGCACCTTCCTCTTGCCACGTTTCTCTCTTTCGCCCTCCATTCGTGCGTCTTCAAAATTTGCAGCACTGCTGGTCACAGCTGACCTCCAACTGGAGCGCTCAAGGGCCAGGGCTTCCCAGTTCTCAGTGTCTATGCCAGAGTTTTTAAGGTTGGCTTTGAGCCCGTCTTTCAATCTCTTTTTCTGCCCACCAACATACCATTTTCCATTCTTGAGTTCGGAGTAGAGCAACTGCTTTGGGAGACGGTGCTCGGGCATCCAGACAACATGGTTGGTCCAGCGGAGTTGATGGCAGAGTACCATTGCTTCAATGCTGGTTGGTGGTCTTTGCTTCTTCCAGCAACTAGAAACTAGGCAAGTGGGGTATGTATATCTGCGGAATGATGTCCTGGGTGGACATCCTTCTTGTCTGTTGGAGGCAAGTGCGAATGTTGCAGTTGGCCACCTTGATTAGCATTAAATAGCCTTGCAGCTTCAAAACCTGGCTGCTTCCTGCCTGGGGGACTTCTTTGTTGGGACGTGTTAGTTGGCCCTGATTGTTTGCTGTCAGGACTTCCATGCTGGACCACCCCAACAACCACCATGTCAGACCACTCAAAGAAGCCACTGAAATCCACCAGCATGTGGACAATTTCAACAGAAAGGAGGAAACCTGAAAATGAACACTATCTAGCTACCAGTATTTAAAACTCCAAAATCAGGACATTAAATAAAGAGCAACACTCAGAAAACAAGGAAATTCCAGACAGGAAATAATCAGGGCGAGCTAACACCTTCCAACAAAGGATTTCCCCGAGGCAGAAAGCAGCCAGGCTATGAAGCTGCAAGGACATTCAATGCTAATCAAGCTGGTCAATTGCAACATTCACACTTGCCTCCAACAGACAAGAGTTCTTTCTCCCACCCTGGATATTATTCCACAGGTATAAACCCCGTTTCCTAGTATCTAACAGACCTCACAACCTCTGAGGATGGCTGCCATAGATGTGGGTGAAACGTCAGGAGAGAATGCTTCAGGAACATGGCCTTACAGCCCGGAAAACTCACAGCAACCCAGACTATAGACTTGTTCTGGAGGATCCAGAGATTCCCATAGAGAACATGGGAAAACTTAACATTATAAACATGAAAGGACAACTGTATACATGTTTCTCAGAAGTGAGGTCCACTCCTTTCATTACACAGAGACCTGGTTGAACTATTCTGGGCATTGGCACCCCAGGATGAACATTTGCTTAGCTCTGATGTATAAGTAACTTCCATCAGCAAAGTGAACTTGCCTGGCGTTGATCAGAGCTCGCTGAGGTAGCTGTTAGAAAATCCGTGTGAATTTATTCCCAGCGTTTGGGTATTTTTAGATGCGAAGTGGGAGTGGATGTTTGCTGCTGCCAGGCCTCTTTATACTGAGGCTGCTTCAGAGCGACACTCCGTTGTCAGTTCTGAGAGAGAGATACTTTTTATTTCTTGTCTTCTTTCTTAACACTCAGAGCTGAGACTCTGGCCCATCACAAAACAGTTCATAGGATCATAGAGTTGGAAGATTTGTTTATTTGTTCTGGAGAGAGTCAATCACAAACAAAATCATAGAATCCTAAAGTTTGAAGAGACCTCTTGGGCCATCCAGTCCAAGCCCATTCTGCCAAGAAGAAGGAAAATTGCATTCAAAGCACCCCTGACAGATAGCCATCCAATCTCTCTTTAAAAGCCTTCAAAGAAGGAGCCTCCACCACACTCTGGGGCAGAGAGTTCCACTGCTGAACAGCTCTCACAGTCAGGAAGTTCTTCCTCATGTTCCTTTCCTGTGATTTCCTGTAAACTGCGAGGCGGGGCGTAGAGGGAGATGCATTCGGTCGAGTAAGCTGGGCCAGATCTGTATAGCTTCAAACTACAGGAAAGGAGATTCCCCCTGAACATGAGGAAGAACTTCCTCACTGTGAGAGCTGCTCATCAATGGTGGAGTGTGGTGTGAGGCTTCTTTAGAGGCTTTTAAACAGAGGCTGAGTGGCTATCTGTCGGGAGGGCTTTAAATGTGATTTTCCTGCTTCTTGGCAGGGGGTTGGACTGGATGGCCCATCAGGTCTCTTCCAACTCTATGATTCTATGCTTTTGTTTCTAATTTACTCTCTCTGGAACAAAGGTGGCTTACAAATTAAATCAAATAAATTAAAAAAAGAACTTCTGACTCAACCTACGCCTGTATTGCTGCAAACAACAGAGATCCAGGACACATGAGAACATGTATTCCAGTATGAAAATTTACTTACTTACTTACTTAGGTGATCCCTCGCTGTCCGAGTTGGATAGTCTTCCATGATCAGTATCCTGGAGGTGGGTCCATAGGTGACTGTGAAGCCCTATTCTTGTTCTGCATCTTCTTTTACAGTGAGGGCATCCGTTTGAAAGTGGAAGACAGTCCCAGTCAGGGTTGGCTTGATGCGCCTTCCTCTTGGCACGTTTCTCTCTTTCGCCCTCCATTCGTGCCTCTTCAAATTCTACAGCACTGCTGGTCACAGCTGACCTCCAACTGGAGTGCTCAAGGGCCAGGGCTTCCCAGTTCTCAGTGTCTATGCCAGAGTTTTTAAGGCTGGCTTTGAGCTCATCTTTCAATCTCTTTTCCTACCCACCAACTTTCCGTTTTCCATTCTTGAGTTTGGAGTAGAGCAACTGCTTTGGGAGACAGTGGTCAGGCATCCAGGCAACATGGCCAGCCCAGTGGAGTTGATGGCGGAGGACCATCACTTTAATGCGGGTAGTCTTTGCTTCTTCCAGCACGCTGACTTTTGTCTGCTTGCTTTCCCAAGAGATTTGCAGGATTTTCCGGAGGCAGCGTTGATGGAATCATTTCAGGAGTTGCATGTGATAGTAATATTGTAGAATTTTATTTTTTTTAAAACAAGAAATTTAAAGCAAAATGGCTGTATATCCCTTCAGAGTCTTCTAAGTGACCTTTTCCTTTCCTTTGCAGGGAGCGATCCCTCATCCCAGCAGGAGTTTACTTCCTGTTTGAAAGAAACGCTCAGTGGCTTGGCGAAGAATGCCAATGACTTGCAGGTAAAAAACCCCCAGTGGAACGGGAAGGCATGGGTGGGGGAGACCAATAGGGTGAAGTGAGGGTCCCAAAGCCTTGGCTACTCCCCTACGTCCTTGTTCTGAAATGTTCTCTGTGACAGTCCAGCCCCCGAGACCCCCAGGTCTTCTGCTTCCTACTTTGAAAGTGTAAACACAACAGAAGGCTTAATACTAAAGATGGTGGTCCTGATCATCAAGATTCTCCACATCTTTATTCCTCCAGCTAATACCTTCCAAATATTTGGGGTCTACAGCAGCGGTTCTCAACCTTCCTAATGCTGCGATCCCTTAATACAGTTCCTCATGTTGTGGTGACCGTGTACCATAAAACTTTTTTCGTTGGTACTTCATAACTGTCATTTTGCTACTATTATGGACCGTAATGTAAATATCAGATATGCAGGATGGATTTTCATTCATTGGACCAAATTTGACACAAATACCCGATACGCCCAAATTTTAATACTGGTGGGGTTGCCGGGGGGGAGGGGGCTTTGGGAGATGTATTTGTTAGGATTTATAGTTCACCTACAATCAGAAGGCATTCTGAACTCCACCAATGATGAAATTGAACCAAACTTGGGCACACAGAACTCCCATGACCAACAGCAAAGACTGGAAGGATTTGGTGGGCATTGACCTTGAGTTTTGGAGTTGTAGTTCACCTGCATCCAGAGAGCACTGTGGACTCAAACAATGATGGATCTGGACCAAACTTGGCATGAATACCCAAATGTCAACACTGGTGGAGTTTGGGGAAAATAGACCTTGACATTTGGGAGTTGAAGTTGCTGGGATTTATAGTTCACCTACAATCAAGAAGCATTCTGAACCTCACCAACAATAGAATTGAGACAAACTTCCCACACAAAACCCCCATGCCTGGAAGGGACTCACTGGCGTGAACCTCCTTCCCGCTTCGCACTTCAGTTTCTAAACACTCAACTGTCACTTCAGTTGAGTGTTTAGAAATCCAGTTTAAGCATCCAAAAAAAAAAAAAAGTGGAGGCAAAGGGACCCAGGGAAAAGCAAAGCAGCAAACACCCCCTAAAAATGGCCACCCTGGCTGTTGCTTTCTTTGCCACTAACGTTAGTGGCCACTCTCTTTTCTGCCCCCACTTGCCTGCAGAATGCGAGTGTGAGCGAGGAGGAGCTGGCGAAGACCATGGAAGGCCTGGGCCTGGAAGATGGGGAGGGTGACGGGAACCTCCTGCCCCTCATGCAAAGCATCATGCAGAACCTCCTCTCCAAGGATGTCCTCTACCCCTCCCTCAAGGAAATCACCGAGAAGGTAACCCCTGTTTCTCCTCTCCTCCCCCCATTTCCCACACTTTTCTCCTGGCCAGGTGTCCCTTTGGAAGCCTGACCTGTGTGTCATACAGGGCAATGATAATATTTATTATTCATTTGTCGTATCAGAAGCAATCTTTTGTACATTTTTCCCTGGTCAGTATCCGGAGTGGCTCCAGAGCCACCGAGAATCCCTGCCTCAAGAGCAGTACCAGAAATACCACCAGCAGCACAGCATCATGGGCAAGATCTGTGAGCAGTTTGAGGCGGAGCAGCCCCTGGATGGTGAGACGGAGCACAAAGCCCGATTTGAAAGGATCCTGGACCTCATGCAGCAGGTGAGTTGGAGTAGCTGGGTGCCTGGGGGTGTTGGAAGTCAAGGAATGCGGGGCAGGGGAACCCCATTGTCTTCTGCTAACACTGCTCTTTTTCCAACTCCTTTTTAGCTCCAAGACCTGGGACACCCTCCTAAGGAACTTGCTGGAGAATCGGTGAGTGCATTAGAGGGAGGACTTTCCCATCCATCTTGTGAAACAAGACAAGTGGGATTCAGCTTTAAATTGAAGCAAATAGTCCATAAGAGTTCTGAGCTCCAATCTTCATTGGCCAAAGACATTTTCTTACTCTGCGGGGTTATGTGTGTTGTAGATCAGCCACCAGAGATTTAACTGATGATTTAGAGAGGATTGAGAGCTTTCCTGTGGCACAAAGTGATGGCCTCTCAAGTCTGGGAAATTCAAGTCTGGGAAATGATGGTTCTCTCTGTGAAGTGCAGGGCCTCAAGGACATTCATGGGAGTCAGAAGTAGCAACAGCAGATAAGGAATCGAGTGAAGAGCTGAGTGATAAGGAGGGTGCCCAGGGAAACCCACCTGTAGTTATGGAAATCAACAAATGTCTTGGTTTACAAGCCACAGTTGAAAATAGATTGCGTCGTTCAGAGAGATTATTTATTTATTTGTTTATTTACAACATTTCTACCGTTCCTTCCTCCACCTGGGAGGGGACTCAAGGCAGCTTACACTTAAGCAACTAATCGATGCCCTTGAAAAACAATGTACAGTTCCAATAAACTGCACATGTTTAAACTTAAAACATTTAAACATGTAAAACAACGTGGAAAAGTTGTGGAGGGAAATTCATGGGAATGGAATGATTTCATGGGTGTCTATTAAACAACAAGATCAGGTTTAGGCAACGCTGCATTAATGTGAGAAGCTAAGCCTGAGTTTTCTTGTTCTTAGTTCAAATCAAGCTTTGATTTTGGATTTAATATATCCTGGATGTTTTCTATGTTCCTGTTCATGTACTCCTGTTCAAGTCTTACTTGTTATACCTTCTTGATTGTGGACATGCTGTATCTATGATTCCTGGCTGTTCCTGGACATTGTCACTTCTGGAACTTCATGGGACATTTGGATTCTTGTTTGATTATCATCTGTTGCTAAACCTTTTGGGGATTATATATCTTCCTTTCTTATTCCTGCTTCTTTATATGCTTTTAATCCGTTTTACAATAAACTGTTTGCTTATATTCTTGGACTTGTGTGGTGCACTGCTCATAGGTGTTTCAGGCCTGCGGGGCAACAGCGTAGTGCCCTCCTTTTCCTCTTTCCTGTTAGTTCTTGCTCCTTAAATCTTTCTGTTCTCCTTTTCCAGCCACCTGGCCTGAACTTCGACCTTGAGGGGCTGAACCTGCCAGACGCCGCTGGTGCCGGAGGAGAGCAGTGTCGGATCATGTGACGTCCCCCTTCTCAACGAGGAGACTGTGGCCATGGGGGGCCATTTCTTGGTGGGATAGCAGTCTTTCCTTGAACTCACCAGGTGCCTGAAGGAGGCTGAGCCAACACTAATAAGATGATAAGTGATTCGTATGAAAGCCCAAGAGGGTGTGAGGGTGGCAGAGACTGATCCCCTCGCCTCTGGTAAGGGCTCTGCTGCTGTTCTGATGCACCCCTTTTCTGCTGCTGCCTATTGGCTCCTCCTAAGGAGTCACACAGATGAAGCCAGAGAGCTAAGCCTCTCTCTCCTAGTCTTTGTTTCCTGGTGGTGGGGGTCATTTCTTTTTCTTTTGCTGGCAAAGAAGGAGGAGAAAATGCCCCACTCCTGCCTGGTAGCTGGTAGCTCCTCTTAAGCCAAAGGTATGGCTTTATATACTAGACACTTTGATGAGGCACACAGATTAGCCAGGACAAGGCCACCCTCTCCCTTGCCATCTTGTGTGTACCCTCTGTCCACTTTGGACACACACTTTTTAATCAAATCAGCTGCCATCAAACACCAGTTCTTGCTCAGCGCAAGAATAGCAAGCGGCTCCTCCTTCCCCCTTCGTATTATTGCTGCTGCTTTTAACACCCTGCCTTCGCCTCTTGACTTAATGCTACCCCTTTCCTGGCACTGTTGGTTAGGAACCAGTTACTTCTCGTAACTTAGAACACAGTGCTTTGGAAACGGAGCTTCCTGGCAGGAGGAAGAACAGGGGAGAAGGAAGAACAGGGTGGACGGATCACGGTTGGAAGCCAGGTTGGTGGAAGGGAGGGGAGGAGAAAATAGAGTCAGGTGGCTGGGACTTCTTCCTTTCCTGAGCCTGACGTGATATGAATTGGTAAAAGGCATTTGTCAAAATAAAGATAGACATTGATACTTGGACTCTGAGTCTTCTGCCTTTGACTGAAATCCGGGAGTTTTCGCAACAACATCCCATCTAGCATTTGGTTTCCTAGAATCATAGAGTTGGAAGAGACCTCATGGGCCATCCAATCCAACCCCCTGCCAAGAAGCAGGAACATTGCATTCAAAGCACCCCTGCCTCAGGGAAGCGTGCTTGCTCCATCCATGTTCAACATCTACACAAATGACCAGCCACTGCCAGAAGGGACAGAGAGCTTCATCTATGCTGATGATCGTGCCATCACCGCTCAAGCAGGGAGCTTTGAGATGGTTGAACAGAAGCTCTCCGAAGCTCTAGGTGCTCTTACTGCCTACTACAGGGAAAACCAGCTGATCCCTAATCCATCTAAAACACAGACATGTGCCTTTCACCTTAAGAACAGACAAGCATCCCGAGCTCTGAGGATTACCTGGGAAGGAATCCCACTGGAGCATTGCAGCGCACCCAAATACCTGGGAGTCACTCTGGACTGTGCTCTGACCTACAAGAAGCACTGCCTGAACATCAAGCAAAAAGTGGGCACTAGAAACAATATCATACGAAAGCCGACTGGCACAACCTGGGGATCACAACCAGACACAGTGAAGACATCTGCCCTTGCGCTGTGCTACTCGGCTGCTGAATATGCATGCCCAGTGTGGAACACATCTCACCACACTTAAACTGGATGTGGCTCTTAATGAGACATGCCGCATTATCACGGGGTGTCTGCGCCCTACACCACTGGAGAAATTACACTGCTTAGCCGGTATTGCACCACCTGACATCCGCCAGGAAGTAGCAGCCAATAGTGAAAGGACCAAGGCAGAGACATCTCCAGCTCATCTCCTGTTTGTGTATCAGCCAGCATGTCAACGACTTAAATCAAGAAATAGTTTTCTAAGATCTACAGAGACACTCGCTGGAACACCTCAGCAAGCGAGAGTCCAAAAGTGGCAGCCTCAAACCCAGAACCTCAACCAATGGCTGATACCAAATGAGAGACTCCCCCTGGGCACACAGAAGACTGGGCGACTTGGAAGGCACTGAACAGACTGTGCTCCGGCACCACGAGATGCAGAGCCACCCTTAAGAAATGGGGCCACAAAGTGGAATCCACAACATGCGAGTGGGGAGAAGAGGAAACCACTGACCACCTGCTGCAATGCAACCTGAGCCCTGCCACATTCACCATGGAGGACCTCCTTGCGGCAACACCGGAAGCACTCCAAGTGGCCAGATACTGGTCAAAGGACATTTAATCAACTAGCAAACCCACAAATTTTGCATTTTGTCGGTTTGTTTGCTTTGTTCTGTTAGAAATGTAATATAATTGACTGGTTTCCCTGACACAACAAATAAATAAATAAATCTTATGGTTATGTTGTTTTACTTTGTATGTTTTGTGATGTTAACTGGGAACTGCTCTGAGTCCCCTCGGGGAGATAGAGCGTTATATAAAGTATTATTATTATTATTAGTAGTAGTAGTAGTAGTAGTATTATATAATCCAATTATCAAATTGAACAATTCACGTGACCTGCTTTGGATTATACGAGTCCACACTGCCATATAATCCAGATGATCAAAGCCGACAATTGACATGATCATCTTTGAACTGGATTATGTGAGTCTACACTGCCATATCATTGAGATTATCAAAGGTGACAATCCACGTGATGTACTTTGAACTGGATTATCTGAGTCTCCTTTGCCATATCATTGAGATTATCAAAGGTGACAATCCACGTGATCTACTTTGAACTGGATTATACGAGTCTACACTGCCATATAATCCAGATTATCAAAGCCGACAATTGACATGATCATCTTTGAATTGGATTATGTGAGTCTACACTGCCATATCATTGAGATTATCAAAGGTGACAATCCATGCAATCTGCTTTGAACCAGATTATATGAGTCTGCACTGCCATATAATCCAATTATCAAATTGAACAACCTGCGTGATCTGCTTTGAACTGGATTATGTGAGTCTCCTATGCTATGTCATTGAGATTATCAAAGCCAACAATCTACGTGATCTGCTTTGAACCGAATTATGCGAGTCCACACTGCCATATAATCCAGATTATCAAAGCCGACAATCAACATGGTGATCCTTTTGCTACCGGGCCCAATTTAAGGTGCTGGTGTTATCCTACAAAGCCCTAAACGGTTCCGGCCCAAAATACCTTTCGGACCGCATCTTGGCCTATGAGCCCACGAGGACCTTGAGATCGTCTGGGGAGGCCCTTCTCTCGATCCCGCCTGCTTCACAGGCACGTCTGGCGGGGACGAGAGAAAGGGCCTTCTCGGTGGTGGCCCCCCCGGCTGTGGAACGACCTCCCTGCTGACATCAGACAGGCGCCCTCCCTTCTGTCCTTCCGTAAGAGCCTGAAGACCTGGCTATTTGAGAAGGCATTCAACTGAGCGCTATGGCAACTGGTAATTGACAACTGGAACGGAATACGGATTACGATATTGGTTATGATTCTATGATGTGACGGAGCGGATTATATAGTGTAACTAGATTATAGTGTATTATTGTTGTATTGATTTCCTGTTTTGCCCTTTTGTAAACTGTTTTTATATGTTGTGCACCGCCGCGAGTCGCCCTAGGGCTGAGAGCGGCGGTCAATAAATGCAGTAAATAAATAAATAAATAAATACAATCCAATTATCAAATTGAACAATCCATGTGATCTGCTTTAAACTGGATTATACGAGTCCACACTGCCATATAATCCAGATTATCAAAGCCGATAATCAACATGGTCATCTTTGAACTTGATTATGTGAGTCATCAATGAGATGATCAGAGGTGACAATCCACATGATCTGCTTTGAATCGGATTATATGAGTCTACACTGCCATATAATCTAGTTCAAAGCAATGTGGATTTTATATAGATGGGACCATAGCTTTCCTCTGTAAAATGTACACAAAGACTGGAATGGGCGGCTGTCCCAACCCAGAACAAGGCTGAAAAGATTGGCTGGTGATGAATGTTTGGTAAATATTGCCGCTCTGCCCGCGCGCCTCGCTGGTAACTTCCTCCACCCGCGGCAGAACGGAAGCGCCTGAACGGCGGCTACTTCCGGCTTCCGGAAGACGAGGCGAGAAGTGTCGCAAAAGGCTGCTGGTTGGCTGTCGGAGGGGGCCGTCAAGCGCGGCGGCTGAGGAGAGAGAGAAGGGGAGGGTGGGGGGAGAATCTCGGCGTCGGTTGGGCGATGGAAATGGCGGCGCCGGGCCGGCCTGGAGGAGAAGGCGGTTGGGGCTGCGACGGAGGCGGCGTCCAGGGAGCCCGAGCGGCCTTCCGAGGTAGGAGAGGCCGGAGGGAGGCCTGAGCCCGTCCTGGCTTAGGCCCAACTCTAGGTCCAGGTCTAGGCCTAGGCCCAGGCCCGTCTGAAGGGCTCCCTTACGTTCCCTTGCCAGGAGAACACAATAGCTTGTCAAGCATTGTTTACAAAAGGGACTCAAGCCAATTGGCAAACCAGTTCTCGCCTGCAGCACCTTCTCGACTAGGGGAAGAATGCTATATTTCAGACCCAAATAATCATAATACAATATTATAATTATATCTTTTATATTACAGGTAATATTTCTAATAATCTATATAAATAAAAATGTCATGTTCGTTTGTGGGATTAACAGAACTCAAAAACGGGTTGTTGTACGTTTTTTTGGGCTAGAGGCATTCTCTCCTGACGTTTCGCCTGCATCTATGGCAAGCATCCACAGAAGTAGTGAGGTCTGTTGGAACTAGGAAAAAGGGTTTATATATCTGTGGAATGACCAGGGTGAGACAAAGGACTCTTGTCTGCTGGAGCTACGTGTGAATGTTTCAACTGACCACCTTGATTAGCATATAATGGCCTGACCGTGCCTAGAGCAAACTTTTGTTGAGAGGTGATTAGATGTCCTTGTTTGTTTCCTCTCTGTTGTGCTGTTGTAATTTTAGAGTTTTTAAATACTGGTAGCCAGATTTTGTTCATTTTCCTCCTTTCTGTTGAAATTGTCCACATGCTTGTGTATTTCAATGGCTTCTCTGTGTAGTCTGACATGGTAGTTGTGCCATAAATGCAGGCAAAACATCAGGAGAGAATGCCTCTAGACCAGTGGTTCTCAACCTGGGGTCCCCAGATGTTTTTGGCCTACAACTCCCAGAAATCCTAACAGCTGGTAAACCAGCTGGGATTTTTGGGAGTTGTAGGCCAAAAACATCTGGGGACCCCAGCTTGAGAACCACTGCTCTGGACCATGGCCATATAGCCTGAAAAAACCTACAACAACCTAGTGTTCCGGCCATGAAAGCCTTCGACAATACATAGAACTCAAAAACCACTACATGAAATGACACGAAATTTGGACACAATACACCTAACAGTCCAACGAATGTCCATCACCCATAAACACACACACAACCCCAGCGGAACAGACTTAAAAACCCCCCAAATACACCATATATACATATACACATACACTCATATACATATGCACATGCACACATTCGTACACACACACGTATATATTTGCACAAACACACACACATATACACAATATGCATGTACACATATAAACACACAAATACACAAATACATACATGCACATACACACACACATACACACAAATCACATATACACGGACTGGGCCACAGCAACGGGTGGCAGGGGACGGCTAGTATTACAATATAATGGTATCTTTATAAATAAAAATGTAATGTTCATTTGTGTCCAATTCTGGGCACCACAATTGACAAGCTGGAATGTGCGCAACTGGCTGGGAGTCAGCTGCATTAAGATCACTACTGACCGAAAGGTCATGAGTTCGAAGCCACCCTGGGTTGGAGTGAGCTTCTGACCCATTTGTGTAGCTTGCTGTCAACCTTTGCAGCCCGAAAGACAGTTGTATCTGTCAAGTAGGCAATTTAGGTACAACTTATGCAGGGAGGCTAATTTAGGACACCATAAAAATCTCCAGCAAGTATCCAAAGAATGAGGAAGTACTTCATCAGTGTCACAAATGGACAGTGAAGCAACAGCTCCTCTGGTGGCCAGAATACCCTCATGAAAAAGCTGGAATGTTAAATAGCCTCTGTGTGTATGTCTATATATGTTGTATGTCGATGGCATTTGAAGTTTGCCATGTGTATGTACATTGTAATCCGCCCTGAGTCGCCTGTGGGATGAGAAGGGCAGAATATAAATATTGTAAATAAATAAATGTGTCCAGAGGAGGGTGATTCAAATGATCAAGGGACTGGAGAACAAGCCCTATCAGGAGCGGCTTAAAGAGGTGGGCATGTTTAGTCTAAAGAAGAGAAGGCTAAGAGGAGACATGATAGCCATGTATCAATATGTGAGAGGAAGTCATAGAGAGGAGGGAGCAAGCTTGTTTTCTGCCTCCCTGGAGACTAGGACGCAATGGAACAATGGCTTCAAACTACAAGAAAGGAGATTCTATCTAAACATGAGGAAGAACTTCCTGACTGTGAGAGCTGTTCAGCAGTGGAACTCTCTACCCCGGAGTGTAGTGGAGGCGCCTTGTTTGGAGGCTTTTAAACAGAGGCTGGATGGCCATCTGTCAGGGGTGCTTTGAATACAGTTTTCCTCCTTCTTGGACTGGATGGCCCACGAGGTCTCTTCCAACTCTATGATTCTATGATTAACATAAAAACTGCTGAATGAATTGACACCGATCAGGCCAACAAGTGACCATCACTCATAAAAACACTGAAAAACACAGCAGAAGAGATTTAAAAAGCCAAAAATACAAAAAAAACAACAACATTACAACGGATTCGCAAAACCACACGTATACATAAATATATACACACACAAAGCACATATACACAGACTGGGCCACAACAATGTGTGGCAGGGTACAGCTAGTAGTACAATATAGTAATATATAGTACTAATATTGTGCTATGCTAATAATATATTGCATGTATATTTATCTGGTAAGTCGCTCTGAGTCGGGCGGGAAATAAATGCCGTAAATAAATAATAAATAAATTCTCCAGAAGCACTTGCTCCAATGCTCGCTTTTGTTGCCACATTTACAGCCCTGGCAAACTTTGGCCCTGTAGGTATTGTGGACTTCAACTCTCACAATTCCTTGACAGCTGTCTCGGCAAACTTCGGCCCTCCATGTGTTTTGGGCTTCAACTCCTATAATTCCTAACAGCCGTCTCAGCAAATTTCGGCCTTGCAGGCGTCTTGGACTTCAACTCCCACAATTCCTAACTGCCGTTTTGGCAAACTTCAGCCCTTCGGGTGTTTTGGACTTCTACTCCCACAATTCCTAACAGCCATCTGGGCAAACTTCAGCCCTCCAGGTGTTTTGGGCTTCAACTCCCACAAATCCTAACTGCCGTCTCGGCAAACTTTGGACTTCCAACTCCCACAATTCCCAACACTCGTCTGGGCAAACTTTGGCCCTGCGGATGTTTTGGACTTCAACTGCTACAATTCCTAACAGCCTAGGCTGGAGGGCTGGAGTTTGCCCATGCCTGGTGTACATTACACAAAATGCACAATATCAAATAAACAAATAAAACAGATCAACAAATAGCACATTACATAAACCTTATACAACAAGCTTAATAAATACGATATGTGCCATTAAATATTCCCTGGGCCTAAGGCCGCTGAGGCTGTCTGTAAAAACATTATACTAAAGATCCTAGAACTCTGCTTCTTTAGCCTGTGTAAATATTGCCAAGTCTGAGATAGTCTTCAGGGATGTGCCTTACCAATAACTGCCTGGTCATTGCCTATTACAGGTTATCGGAAAAGGCCAGGTTCCACAAAAAAGTTTTAACTTATGAATAAAAGGCCAGTAAAGAGGGGGCCGATCTCTACACAACAGACATCATTTAATTCTAATTACATATAGCTCTGAACTACAAACATTGACATAAAACTGGCTTAGAAAGTGGATTTTCAGCTTCCCTTTTGTTGGTTAGCACTATTTTCTCCCACTTACTTCCAACAAATTGTTTATTTCTGCTTATGGCTGAGGGAGCTTGTTGTTTATTATTTAATGTTTATAATTGTTTTTATATTTGTTGCTTGCTGTCAGCCTCCCCGAGTGCCTTTGTGGAGAGGATTGGGGTATAAATAAAAATTATTATTGTTGTTATTAATATTTTAACATTAACAAGTGAATCTCTTAGGATGTTATGTCTCCAAACTTGTATTATTTGAATTGTATCGTGCTAGACAAGGTCTCCTTTAGGAATGTGAACTTCCTAACTATATGAAAAGTTTTCCGAGAAGCTGCTTGTGCTTGGCTCAGAGAAATAACATGCGTAGCCATTTCAAGCCTTGTGTATTTCCTCTTTCACCTCCCAAAATGTTGGAACTAAAGTGACCCTTGGTGCAAATGTGGAGGGTGTTTGGTGGAGGGAAAAGCAGACCCACAATGACCCTTAGATAAAATCTTTCTCCTCTTTCCTTACTCAGTCTGACAGCAATTCTACAGTGCAAGTTACGACAAAACTCCAGGATCTGCTCCAGTAGAAGAGCGGGGTAGGAAAGGTGAGTGAATGTCTTTGCAATTGTCCCTTTTAGGGGAGCATCTCAGCTTCTGCAGGAGTACCAAGTGGGTTGAGTAAGCGTCTCATTCTGGGAAGTGGGATGTGATAGTTGCCATTGTTAGTATCGTGTATAGAAATAAAGTTTTACTGCTGGGAAAATCTTTTTTGGGAGTGACAGAGTGGCCTCCGTGGAAGGTGTCAAGTTCCAGGTTACAAGAACTCTAAGGCAAATGCATCACTGAGTTTTCTTTTGTTCAGAGGTGGTTTGCAACATGGGCTGAAAGAGGGTTAATTGTCCAAGTGCTTCCAATGAGATTCCATGGCCAAGGTGGGATTTGAACCCTGCTCCTGAGAGTTGTAGCCCAATGCTCAAATAACAACACAACCCAGGCTACCCCTTAGTGGAGGATGTGAACTTTATTTAACAATCACAAGTCAGTAAATCTGTGTGTGTTCACGTGATTGTGCATATGGTAGGGAGGTGTTGTGTTCTGCGGGGAGGTTTGTTGTATTGCATGTTACTTGTTGTTCAGGCATACCTAGAGCATTGTTCAGACAAGCCTCTTTGCAAATGTGGAAGAGGTGGCCACTACCACATTTAAATTACTCAAACAGTTGTTTATTGTCGAAGGCTTTCATGGCTGGAATCACTGTGTTGTTATAGGTTTTTCGGGCTATATGGCCATGTTCTAGAACAGGGGTCCTCAAACTAAGGCCCGAGGGCCAGATACGGCCCTCCGAGTCATTTACCTGTCCCTCGCTCAGGGTCAACTTAAGTCTGAAAGCACTTGAAAGCACACAACAACAACAATCCTATTTCATCAGCCACAATTCCCATTGAAATACTAGAATCATAGAGTTGGAAGATACCTCATGGGCCATCCAGTCCAACCCCCTGCCAAGACGCAGGAATATTGCATTCAAAGCACCCCTGACAGATGGCCATCCAGCCTTTAACAAGTTTATATTGGTTAAAATTGTTCTTTGTTTTAATTATTGTATTGGTTTTAAGTGTTTTTGCACTACAAATAAGCTATGTTCAGTGTGCATCGGAATTCATTCATGGTTTTTTTTTTTTCAAATTATAATCCGACCCTCCAACAGTTTGAGGGACTGTGACCTGGCCCTCTCTTTAAAAAGTTTGAGGACCCCTGTTCTAGAAGCATTCTCTCCTGGCGTTTCGCCTGCATCTATGGCAAGCATCCTCAGAGGTTGTGAGATCATCTGGAGAGGCCCTGCTCGCGATCCCACCTGCATCGCAGGCGCAATTGGTGGGGACGAGAGAGAGGGCCTTTTCGGTGGTAGCCCCTCAACTCTGGAACTCACTTCCTAAGGACATCAGGCAGGCCCCAACTCTGGCAGTCTTTAGGAGGAGCTTGAAGACTTGGTTGTTGCAGTGTGCCTTCCCAGAATAATGATCCCATAGCACTTTGTCCTCCAAAGCACTTTACATTTTAGGTCTGCTTGTATGTTTTCCACAAACGCCACTACCACCTTTTCGCCCATGCTCCAGCATTATTTTCAATTTTAATTTTACATTTGGCCTTCCCACAGTTTTAATTGGATGTTGTCTTATTGTTAATGTCGCATATCTTATTGTCCATGTTTTTTATTTTAATTGCTTGTATTGTTGTTATTATTTACTTATTTATTTATTTACGACATTTATATGCCGCCCTTCTCACCCCGAAGGGGACTCAGAGCGACTTACAAGGTATATATACATACAATATATTATTAACATAGTACAATATCAGTTTTAAATATTGCACTATATAAATTATACTGTAATATTGCGTGTATTGTTGTATTTGGGCTCGGCCTCATGTAAGCCGCACCGAGTCCCTTGGGGAGATGATAGCAGGGTACAAATAAATTATTATTATTATTATTATTATTATTATTCTAGAACATGGCCATATAGCCCGAAAAAACTACAACAAAACAGTAGTTTGCATACATAATTGGGCATATAATTCTGGGTCATCTCTTCATTCACCCGTTCTTTGTCTTGGCTGGGCTTCCCATGTCTTCTCCTTAAGGAATCAGAATTTTAAAGGACAGTTTTTTCAACAGCAGTTTCTTACATCTTATAACTGAAGATCCTTCTGTTCTACATATGTGTGTCTTCTGGGCTCAGGGTTTGGGAATATTTATGTATTCCAAAGATGGGATTCTGTTTCTGCTGTATGGTTTGGGAAGGTTGGACACTCCCAGTGCAGTCCAGATTCAATCTCTTTCCTGTGCTGTTGGGTGCTGATCTTGTCCTTGAGCCTTGCAAAGCTTAATTCCTGTGGAGACTGCACTCCCCTTGGCCTAACTCCACTTGCCTCTTGCGGAGGCCGATTTGTTCAGTCTAATGAGTGCTTTCCGCGCTGACTCTTTCCTCCAATGCAAAGCCCTTCCAGTTCCCAGTGACCTTGCACAGCCACTCGCCTTCTCCTTCTTATCTGCTTATGAAGCCGGTCTGGAGCAGAGCCAGATGGCCTAGTCATCTACCTCCGCTGTGCTGCCACCAGAGCCATCTCTGTGATCAGCTTTTTACCTGACGGCCCTTCCATTCTCAGTGGTTCCCTAGAAACTATGGCTCTATTGAGGGCTGCCACCTCAGTCCTTTCTTGAGTTTGGGGCTGAGGGAGCTGGAGAATTTTAATTTGGAGGAAGCTGCTAAGATGACACGACAGCTTTCTTTAAATACCTGATGGGATGTCACGTGGAAGATGGAGTGATCTTGTTTTCTGCTGCTCCAGGGACTGGAACATGAGCCAGTGGGTTCAAATGGCAACAAAAGAGATTCCATCTTAACGTGAGGACTTTTTGAAAGTGGAATAAGAAGCCTTAGAGGGTGTTGGACTCGTCTGTTTGAGAAGTCTTGAAACAAAGGTTAGGTGGACATCTTTCAGGGGTCCTTTAGCTGTGTCTTTCTGCAGAGCAGGGAGTTGGACTAACTGGTGTGTGTAATATCTTCTGTGATTCTGATTGCAAAGCAAACCACGTAGTGAATGTTTTACTGTTATTTTAGAGTTATTTTTATTTTATTTTATTTTGAGTTATTTTTGACAGTGTCTGCATTTATTATTTGTTTCTATTTTCTTGTTTTAAACCACTCTGAGTTCCTTCGGAGAGAGGGAGCAGGATATAAATAAAGCATTATTATTGTTCTTGTTTTACTGACACAAAAGCACAGTATGTCACAGCAAACGAGATCTATATGCTGGATTTCGTATCACAAAATCACAAGTTGAACACTTCCCAAGCGTCTAGGACTGTGTGATGTGTTGTTGTTGTTGTTGTTATTATTATTATTATTATTATTATTATTATTATATAAAGAAAGCATTATTATAGGAGTCCCCTTAGTTTCACACTTTCCTCCAACAGGCGAGGAGGGTGTTCACCCTGGACATCATTCCACAGATATACAAACCTGACTTGCCCAGTTTCCAACAGACTTCACAACCTCTGAGGATGCCTGCCATAAATGCAGGTGAAACGTCAGAAGAGAATGCTTCTAGAATATGGCCATATAACCTGAAAAACCTACAACAACCCATTATTGTTATTATTATTATTATTATTATTATTAGTAGTAGTAGTAGTAGTAGTAGTAGTGGTGGTGGTGGTAGCAGGGCCCCTGTGGTTAGACCACTGAGCTGCTGAACTTGCTGACCAAAAGGTTGGCAATTCGAATCTAGGAAGTGGGGTGAGCTCCTGCTGTTAGGCTCAGCTTCTGTCAAGCTAGCACTTTGAAAACATGCAAATGTGAGTAGATCAATAGGTACCGCTCTGGTGGTAAGGTAACAGCGTTCCATGCAGTCATGATGGCCACATAACCCTGTGGGTGTCTATGGACAATGCGGACTCTTCAGCTTAGAAATGGAGATGGGCAACACATCACAGAGTCAGACACAACTAGACTTAATGTCAGGGAAAACTAGTAGTAGTAGTAGTGAATGGGGTTCTGCCTGAACCCTTTTCCATAGCGGAGAAGACAGGCTTCTTGCTGGAATCTCACCCTCTTGGGCAGAAAAAGAAGGTAAGCCAGAGTTGGCGAAACCCTCCTTAAGAAAGAGGCAAGCAGTGAACTTACGTGAGGAGTTGAATGGGTGGCCTTCCTCCAGGTGTCCGGGTAAAATCTATGTGGGATCTAGCAACTCTTTTTTTTCTAGCATTATTTGCAAGCTTCTGTAAACAAATGAAGACTTTGGAAATTTGAAACACCCAGGCAGAACCGGTCACTAAATTGGTCTGATGAATTGCAGATTAGGAATGAGGGCTGGAAGCCTTCAGAAGGCACTTTGGCAGTCCATATGCGCCACATGATGGAGCCCCACTCCCCATGCTCCAAACTGGATGGCTTCCTTCTGAGTTCGCAAAGCCAGAGTTAATTCTGTAATGGTGCATTCTGTGTGTGGCTTTGGAGCACCCGGAGTTCTGTTTTCAGCTACCTCAAGTAATGTTTTGGGGGGAAAAGAGACAAGATCCTTCAGAGATGCATGCCTTACTTAGGAGGGTCTCTCCACCAGGCTTGACCCATTTCCTTTGCTGGGCTTGTTTATTTGTGGGAGTTTCAAGGGGCTGGGTGGATGATACTTCCTGAGGAGAGGGCTTCCTTGTTGTCTTGGTTGACTTTTTCATTTGGTAATCAACCCCTTGGTTGGCTTACTTAGACAAATGCTGAGTTTCAGATGGTCTAGATCAGCATGGGCAAACTTGGGCCGTATAGGTGTTTTGGACTTCAACTTCCACAATTCCTAACAGCCTCAGCACCCAAGGAAAGGGTCTGAGGCTGTTGGGAATTGTGGGAGTTGTAGTCCAAAACACCTGGATGGCATAATTTGCCCATGCCTGGTCTAGAGGTAAGATATCTGCTCAATCAGGCATATATGGGGCAGAGGTGGGCAGATGCCATGACTTTTTGGGCTCTCTTTCCAGAAGTGGCAGCAGCTTAATAATAATAATAATAATAATAATAATAATAATAATAATAATAATAATAGGTCAGGATTGAAAAATCAGCTGATGACCCAAAATGCAGACTGTGCAAGGACGCTGATGAAACCATAGATCATATCCTCAGCTGCTGCAAGAAAATCACACAGACTACAAACAGAGGCACAACTCTGTGGCCCCGATGATTCACTGGAATTTCTGTCACAAGTACCACCTGCTAGCAGTAAAGATTTGATGGGGTCATAAACCTGCAAAGGTAATGGAAAATGAACATGCAAAAATACTGTGGGATTTTCAAAATCAGGCTGACAAAGTTTTGGAACACAACACGCTAGACATCACAATTGTGGAAAAGAAAAAAGTTTGGATGATTGATGTCACCATACCGGGTGACAGTCGCATTGAGGAAGAACAACAGGAAAAACTCAGCCATTATTAGGATATCAAAATCGAACTGCAAAGGCTCTGGTATAAACCAGTCCAGGTGATCCCAGTGGTCATTGGCACACTGGGTGCCGTGCCAAAAGATCTCAGCCAGCATTTGGAAACAATAAACATTGACAAAATCACAATCTGTAAATTGCAAAAGGACACCTTACTTGGTTCTGCATGGATCATTCGAAAATACATCACACCGTCCTAGATGCTTAAGAAGTGTTCGACTTGTGATTTTGTGATACGAAATCCAGCATAGAGATCTCACTTGCTGTGACATACTGTGTTTTTGTGTCCGTAAAAATAAAATAAAATAATAATAATACATGTAATCCAATTCAACAGCCAGCAGAGTGATTGTGTTTGCTGTGGACTCATCTTGTTGTGTTTCAAATAATAATAATAATAATAATAATAATAATAATAATAATAATAATAATAAATACAATAATTTATTTATAACCCGCCCTCTGTCCCCAAAGAGACTCGGGGTGGTGTACAGGAATAACAAATTGGCAAACATTCAATGCTTACCTCAGCTTATCCTAGTGGGCCGCATTGGAAGCACATTTTGCAGGGGAGTGCTTGTGGATTGGAGGTGTGAGGGAACAGCATGCTTGTGACTCAGATTGGGAAAAGGCCAGCCCAGAGAGGAGTGGGTTGTGTTTTGGTCAGGGAGCGAGTTCATTGTCTGGATTATTCATCTCTGATCTTGTGTTAGCAGGCTGGGATTTTTTTTTGGTGGTGGTGGAGGCTATTGCATTTATGTTAGTAGCACTTGGGGGTTACAACATGACCTCTCTATCCCCACCCTTTTGGCTGCTTTTGTGCGAGTCCCTCTCAACAAAGCCAGCAGCAAGTTAGTCAATAATGATGATGATGATGACGACGACGACGACTCTGGCACAAGCCAGTCAAGGTGGTCCCAGTGGTGATTGGCACACTGTGTGCAGTGCCTAAAGGCCTTGGCCTGCACTTAAACACAATCGGAACTGACAAAATTACCACCTTACTGGGATCTGCATGCATTATTCGCCAATACATCACACAGTCCTAGACACTTGGGAAGTATCTGACGTGTGATCCAATGCAACAGCCAGGAGAGTGTCTGCTGTGGACTCACCTTGTTGTGTTTCAAATAATAATAATAATCATCATCATCATCATCATCCCAGGTTACAGCAGGATTGAAGAGAAACAACTGGAAAAGCTGACACATGAGGATTTAAAGATTGAACTGCAAAGACTGGCACAAGCCAGTATAGGTGGTCCCAGTGGTGATTGGCACACTGGGTGCAATTCCTAAAGACCTTGGCCTGCACTTAAACACAATCGGTGCTGACAAAATTACCATCTGCCAGCTGCAGAAGGCCACCTTACTGGGATCTGCACACATTATTCGCACAATCGTAGACACTTGGGAAGTGTCCGACATCTCTCCTGACACACAAGCGGAGACATACAGAGGTTACCTCACACAGAGGCCTACCTCACACAGAGGCTTCTCTCACAGACAAAGTCCTACCTTGCTACTAAGCTACAGGCATACCTGCTTATATAGAATTGCAGCTTTCGCTGAGTCACACAGAGGCTTCTCTCACAGAGATTACCTCACACAGGGGCCTACCTCACACAGAGGCTTCTCTCACAGACAAAGGCCTACCTGACACTGTGAGCCCTTCCTTCACAGATCTACCTCACACTGTGAGGCCTTCTCACAGACTGAGACCTATCTCCCACTGAGGTTTACCTCAAACTAACTGCTACTAAGATACAGGCATACCTGCTTATATAGAATTGCAGCTTTTGCTGAATCATTGCATCCTTTTAACCCTTTCAGTGCTTGACACACGTTTTTGTAATTAAAAAGTACCTAGTTAATTTTTAATATTACCTCCTGGCATGCAGCCGGGGTGACAGAGAGGGCATAGTTTCCGCACTTTGCGGCAGTTCAGGATCTTTACCAGTCTCAGCTCCTTCTTTCATTTGCTCGGGCCCACCCTGTGTCCTTTATGGAGGCAGAAATGTTTGCAGGCCGTGCACTTTCTGGCTGGATGGTCTTATCAGCCCCAGGATATGGTGACAGTGTGAATGTTGTTGGACAAAGAAAGGCCTTTGCAGCACGTGGACGGACTTGCCTCTTCTCTTCTTTTTGTCTAAAAATAAATACATTGCATTGGATGTTCTTTTCAACCTGTTTGCTAAGGCAGCCTTTCTCACTCGCTTAGATGCACTCTGCACCGCTGTCCCTCCCGTTGGTCGGCCACGTGTTTGTCCTCCCCAAACAATGGCCCATCCTGGCTTTCCAGGTTGTTCCTCGGGGGTTCGTGGCCAGGCTTTTAGAAAACAGTGTCCTCTGACTTCACGGAGTGCAAGTGGGGGATGAGTGCATTCTTCTGGGGCACTTTCGTGGGAAAGGGAGCCACGTGCCCTCCGTTGCATCTGATGGGTTCCTGCCATGGCTGTTTACTAATGTCTCTCCTTTCCCCTCCCCTCTTTCTCTTTCGGAAAAAAAATATATCTCAGAGTGAATTTGCAAGAAAACAAGATGTCTGACACAGGGAGTAGCACAGATGGGAAAACAGACCTGCCCAATGGTAAGACGTATTGGGAATGAAGGGGCGAGAGAGATGGGGAAGCACAAAACCCTACACCAGTGGTTCTCAACCTTCCTAATGCCACGACGCCATAATACATTACTAATAATATTGCAGTGTAGTGGTATAGTACAACATAGTAATATAGAATGCTAATATTGTTCTATTTTATTTATTTAAAACATTTATATTCCGCCCTTCCAACCCCGCAGGGACAACATATATGTGGCAAACATTCAATGCCGGGACATAAGATCATAAATATATACAAACATTAAAACCACTTGTATTCACATTAAAAGTTGCTTAAAAACCATCTCAGTACAACATTTTGCCTCATTACAACAGCAAAATAGCAGAGAGGAAACAACCAGGCACATCTTAACACCTCTCAACAAAAGATTTTCCCAGGCTCAGCCAGGCCTTCAAATGCTAATGAAGATAGTCAGTTGAAACATTCACACCTAGCTCCAGCAGAGAAGAGCTCTTTGCCCCACCCCAGCCATTCCACAGATATATAAACCCATTGTCCTAATTCCAACAGACCTCACTACCTCTGAGGATGCTTGCCATAGATGCAGGCAAAACGTCAGGAGAAGTGCCTCTAGAACATGGCCCTATAGCCCGAAAAAACCCACAAGAACCTATTTTGCCTCATTGCTTGGTCCCATAGCCAGGTCTTCAATCCTTCTGAAGGACAGGAGGGAAGGAGCTGATGTAATATTGCCAGGAAGGGAGTTCCATAACCGGGGGGCAATCATTGAGAAGGCCCTGTCTCTGGTCCCTGCCAAACATGCCTGTGATGGTGGCGAGACTGAGAGCAGGGCCTCCTCAGAAGATCTTAGTTTCCGGAGTGTTTCATAAAGGAAGATGCGTTCAGACAGGTAAACTGGGCCGTGGCCGTTTAGGGCTTTATAGGCCAAAGCCAGCTATTTGAATTGTGCTCGGTAGCAAACTGGCAGCCAGTGGAGCTGGCGTAACATGGGAGTTGTGTGCTCCCTGTATGCCGCCCCAGTTCTATGCTAATATATAATATTTGTATGTACATATAATGTTTATCATGATATTGTACTACAATATAATAATAATACATTACAATAATATCATAATTATATATTATATTTAATAGTAATACTGCACTATAGTGGTATAGTACAATATAGTAATGTATAATACTAATATTGTGCTATGCTGATAATAAAATATATTGTATGCACATATAATATTGATAATATTTTAATGTAATATAGTACTAATAATACAATATAATAATTGTATATTATATACTATATGTAATATTACTAATAATATTGCAATATAGTGGTATAGTACAGTATAGCTCTCTCTCTCTCTCTCTATATATAAATATATAAATAATACTGTTCTATGCTAATAATACATACAATACAATATTGATCATAATAGTGTAATACAATATAAAACTACTAATACTAATACAGTAATTGTATATTATATACTACATGTAATATTACTAATTACAATAGAGTAGTATATTACAATATATATATATTTATATATATATAAACTACTATACCACGATATTGCAATATTATTAGTAATACCACATGTAGTATATAATATACAATTACTGTATTATTAGTAGTAGTTTTATATTGTATTACACTTATGATCAATATTGTATGTACATTGTATTATATTGTATTACACTATTATGATCAATATTGTGTTGTATGTATTATTAGCACAGAACAATATTAGTGTATATGTATGTATATATACTAATATTGTTCTATGCTAATAATATAATGTATATACATATAATAGTGATCATAATAGTGTGATACAATATAATACTACTAATAATACAATATAATAATATAATGATTATACCTTATATATTACATGTAATGTTAATAATAATATTGCAGTATTCTGGTATAGTACAATATAGTAATATATAATACTAATATTGTGCTATGCTAATAATATAATATATCGTATGTACATGTAATAGTGATCATAATAGTGTAATACAATATAATACTAATAATAATACAATATAATAATATAATAATTATACCTTATATATTACATGTAATGTTAATAATAATATTGCAGTATTCTGGTATAGTACAGTATAGTAATATATAATACTAATATTGTGCTATGCTAATAATATAATATATTGTTTGTACATATAACTTGTAAGCCGCTCTGAATCCCCTTTGAAGTGAGAAGGGCGGCATATAAATATCGTAAATATATAAATAAATAATTGGAAATGACCTGGATTTTGGGTTGGGACTGGAGATGGTCCCGAGGCTCCTGTTTTGGTCTTCTGACAGCAGAGAAGGGGGCAGCCAAACTTTTCTTGTCCTCAGCCTACTGGATGTGTCATTCTTGCTAATCCTGGGGTGTTGCTTCTCCCCCACAGGCAGCTTATCAAGTAGCCCTGAGGAGATGTCGGGAGCTACGGAGGGCCGCGAGACGTCCTCAGGTGTGGAGGTTGAAGCTTCGGATCTCAGCCTGAGCCTCACCGGAGATGAAGTGGGGCCCAACCGTACATATACGGAGAGCTCGGCAGAAGAGAAGGACTCGGACAGCATGGATGACACAGGTCACTACTCCATCAATGAGCTGAACCGGACCTACGACCGCTCTCATTCGGATGATGAGGAAGAGGAAGAAGAAGAGGAGGAGGAGGAAGAGCAACCACAGCCGCAGATGGAGGCCGAGGCCCAGCGGTCTCGCCGGCGGGCCCAGCGCAAGCGCCCTAACCGGGACAGGGACTCATCGGACGACGAGAGGGCCCTGGAGGACTGGGTGGCCTCGGAGACAGCTCCGCTGCCCCGGCCCCGCTGGCGAGCCATCCCGGCCCTGCGGGAAAGGGAGCTGGGCTGCAGCACCCGCTTTGTCTACGAGGCGTGCGGGGCCCGGGTCTTTGTGCAGCGCTTCCGTCTCCAGTATGGCCTGGAGGGCCACAGTGGCTGCGTCAACACCTTGCACTTTAACCAGCGCGGCACGAGGCTGGCCAGCGGGAGTGACGATCTCAAGGTGGTGGTCTGGGACTGGGTGCGGAGGCGGCCGGTGCTGGAGTTTGAGAGCGGCCACAAGAGCAACGTCTTCCAGGTGGGGTGGGCAAGCCTGGGGTCAGGGGTGGCAAAGGGGGCTGAAAGTTTGTATGTCTTTTGTCAACTCCAAGTCTTATTGGCCCATAGGGGTCTGTCTGGGGGAAGGTAGGAGGAAGCCCAGTGGAAGAGGGACTGAATGAGGCAGTACTGTGTTCTCTAGGCATTAATAATAATATCATCATCATCTTTATTTATACCCCGCCACCATCTCCTCAAAGGGGACTCGTAGCAGCTTAAATGAGGCCAAGCCCAGCTCTACTAAACCTAGTAGAGCTTCAGGAAAGTGGCTCAGGGCCCTTCCACACAACCCTATATCCCAGAACATCTGCTTTGAACTGGGTTATCTGAGTCCATACTTGGATAATGTGGAACTTTCTGCCTTGCTGTTCTGGGATATAGGCCTGTGTGGAAGGGCCCACAATCCAAAAAGAAGGCTCATGTTGTCAGTGGCATGGCAGAGGGATATGAAAGAGTAGTGTTTCTCAGCTTTCATAATGATGTGACCCCTTAATACAGTTCCTCCAGTTAATCACCAGCAGCAATAAACCTTTCCCAACCGAAAGGTTGGCAGTTCAAGCCCAGGTCGGGGTGAGTACCCGACCTTCAGCCCAGCTTACTGTCCACCTAAGCCAGTGTTTCTCAACCTTCCTAATGCTGCAGCCACTTAATACAGTTCTTCGTGTCGTGGTGACCCCCAACCATAACATTATTTTCATTGCTACTTCATAACTGTAATTTTGCTCCTGTTATGGATTGTAATGTAAATATCTGATATGCAGGATATATTTTCATTCACTGGCCCCAATTTGGCACAAATACCCAATACGCCCAAATTTGAATATATTATTTATTTATTTATTTACGACATTTGTATGCCGCTCTTCCCACCCTGAAGGGGACTCAGAGCACCTTACGATATATATATATATATATATATATATATATATATATACACACACACACACACATACATATATACACACACATATATATATACACACAATATTTTAAATTATTAGCACAATATCAGTATTAGATATTACTATATTGTACTACACCATTATATTGTAATATTATTAGGAATATTGCATGTAATATAAATATATATCATTATAGTATTGTATTACATTATATTATCATAAATATTATATGCATATGCAATATATTATATTATAATATTAGTAAAGCACAGGAGACAAGATGGAAATGTCTTCAACGGTAGCCCACCCTCTCTTCACTCTGGTCAGAGCAGCAGTTGGTGCTGGGGGGGGGGGGGGCTCTCAACTGATGATAGTAGGCAGGGGACAAGATGGAACTGTCTTCTGCCTCCCTCAATACTGGTGGAGTTGGGAGGGAGGACTGATTTGGTCATTTGGGAGATGTCACTGCTGGGATTTATAGTTAACCGACGATAAGATCATTCTGAACTCTACCAATGATGGAATAGAACCAATCTTGGCATACAGAACTCCCATGACCAACAGAAAATACTGAAAGGGTTTGGTGAGGATTGACCTTGAGTTCAGGAGTTGTCGTTCACCTACGTCCAGAGATCACTGTGGACTCAAACAATGATGGCTCTGAACCAAACTTGGCATGAATATGCAGTAGACCCAAATGTGAACACTGGTGGAGTTTGGGGAAAAATAGACCTTGACATTTGGGGGTTGTAGTTGCTGGGATTTATAGTTCACCTACAATCAAAGAGCATTCTGAACCCCACCAACGACAGAATTGGGGCAAACTTCCCACACAGAACCCCCATGACCAACAGAAAATGCTTAAAGCCAACCAGTCCAACTCCCTTCACCAGGGCAAGAAAACGTAATCAAACCCTTCCAGTATTTTTTGTTGGTCATGGGAGTTCTGTGTGCCACGTTTGGTTCAATTCCATCATTGGTGGAGTTCAGAATGCTCTTTGATTGTAGGTGAACTATAAATCCCAGCAACTAGACCTCCCAAATGACAAAATCAATTTTTTGAGTGATGGTCACTCCTTGGGTTAGTAGGTGTCTTGTGGCCAAATTTGGCGACAATTCATCCAGTGGTTTTTGAGTTCTGTTAATCCCACAAACGAACATTAGATTTTTATTTATATCGATTATAGTCTTTGGCAAGACCTCTGACACCCCCTCACGACCCTCCGGGGTCCCAACCCCCAGGTTGAGAAATGCTGTGCTAGAGCCTGCCCTGGCACTACTTATGCCCTTTGTTTTTAGGCCAGAAGGCTTGGCAGACCATCGGCAACAGTTCTATCTGGCTTCTTCTCTCCATATGCTTGAGGGAGCTACCTGGCAGAGTGGCAGAGTGGCAGGGCAACTTGTGCCTTGATATCCCCCAGCAGGTGGATGAATAGAGAGCCCTGCTCTTCTCTCACTCCCGCCTGCATCGCAAGTGGGGACGAAAGAGAGGGCCTTCTTTGTGGTGGCCCCCAGGCTTTGGAATCTACTCCCCAGAGATATTAGGCAAGCCCCCACGCTGGCAATCTTCAGGAGGAACCTGAAAACCTGGTTATTCCAATGTGCCTTCAATGATTGAATGTAAGATACTCCCTGACCAAATTTCGCACAAATTATCTCAGAAGCACTTTATTTTATGGTTCGTGCAATTAATTCCTTCCTCAACCCGGATCGCCCTCCCCAATAATTTCCATTGCTCAATCTCCCAGTGTTATAAAATTTTTATCCTTAAATTTGTCCCTGCCCCATTTTTTTTTTCGTGTCAGGAGCGACTTGAGAAATTGCAAGTCGCTTCTGGTGTGAGAGAATTGGCCATCTGCAAGGACGTTGCCCAGGATGTCCAATGTTATACTGCTGTGTCGCTTATATTGGTTTTGCATTTATTTTATTTTATTTTTAATTCTGTTATGCTTTGGTGTTATATTATGTTATGCTTTTGTGTAATATTGTGTTTACTGTACTGATGGGCATGGCCTCATGTAAGCCGCCCCGAGTCCCCTGGGGGTGATGGAGCGGGGTATAATTTTTTTTTTCGTGTCAGGAGCGACTTGTGAAACTGCAAGTCGCTTCTGGTGTGAGAGAATTGGCCGTCTGCAAGGACGTTGCCCAGGGGACGCCCGGATGATTGGATGTTTTTATCATCCTTGTGGGAGGCTTCTCTCATGTCCTCGCTTGGGGAGCTGGAGCTGACAGAGGGAGCTCATCCACCTCTCACTGGATTCGAACCTGTGACCTGTCGGTGTTCAGTCCTGCTGGCACAGGGGTTTAACCCACTGAGCCACCGGGGGCTCCCGGTGTATTATTATTATTATTATTATTAATAATAATAATATACAGCTATAATATAATACTGTATAATAATATTATAATATATTATAATATATTATTATATTATAATATATTATTATATATTATTATATTATAATATATTATTATATTGTAATATAATATATTGTAATATAATATATTGTATATATATTATATTATAATATATTATTAATAATAATATATAGAGCTGTATATATATTATTATACAGCTCTGCCTCCGTCCCTCAGCTGAATTCTTTCTGCTCCCGCAGGCCAAGTTCCTCCCCAACAGCGGTGACTCCACCATCGCCATGTGTGCCCGCGACGGCCAAGTCCGCGTTGCTGAGCTCTCCGCCACCCAGTGCTGCAAGACCACCAAGCGGGTGGCCCAGCACAAGGGGGCATCGCACAAGGTGAGAGTTGCTTCCCTATTTCTCTGCATCTGTACTTCAGGGACTGGCAGTGACAGAGACAAGGGAGAGAAAGATAAGACATATGGGGTGGGGAAAGATATAAATACCCAATAGACCTCTAAAGTGGCATCTGTTGGCTCCAGACAGGTCTCACCCAACACCTCTACCCTTACCGCAATACCTGTTCCCTCTAGCCGTAATGAATCTCTTTAGGATGAACCGCAAGGAGATTGGTCCCTGGGTAGCAGGAATGTTGTCATAGGTCGTCGTTTTGCTAGTGGGGTGTTCCTATTATGTCTGAGTCACCCCATCTTTCTCTTCCAGCTGGCCCTCGAGCCAGACTCTCCCTGCACTTTCCTCTCAGCTGGCGAAGACGCCGTTGTGTTCACAATTGACTTGAGACAAGACCGGCCTGCTTCGTAAGTGTGGGTTTGGTTGTCTCTCTGTCTCTTTCCTCTGGTCTCAAAGGCAGAGGCCTTCAACCAATGGCCTTCAGCGTTGTGGCCTTTCCAGTCTTATTGGACCTCAGCTCCCAAAAGCTTCATCCACAATGTCCTACGATCACAGTTCTTTGGAGTTGACTTTCAATGGCATCTGGAAGATCAATGAAGGTGGTAAAACGTTGGGAGAGACCACCAGGTTTTGTGAGGAACACCTAAGGCAGCTGGGAATATTGAGCTTGATGGGGTTGTCATGAGGGCCTTATTTAAATATCTGAAGATGCATATGTAAAGGATGGAGGAAGCTTCCCGGCTGCCTTGGAAGGGCTTGGGTTTTCTTTTGTTGGATGGACATTCCTTGGGAGGACTTTAGTTGAATGGTCTAGTATGACAGGAAGTTGGTGTAGCGTAGGCATGGGCAAACTTTCTAACTTTCGGGGGGAGAAGGGCAGAGTATAAATATAGGAAATAAATAAATAAAATAAACTTGGGGGAGATGCATGCTAGCACTCCCTGCTAGGAAGACTGACTGACTGGGGATGGAAGGAAGGGAGGGAAGGAGGAAGGAAAGAGAAGAGGGAGGAAGGGGAGGATGGAAGGAGAAAGGGAGAGAGGGAAGAGGAAGGAAAGACGGAAGGAAGGAAGGAAAAAGATAAGGAAGGAAGAATGGAAGGAAGAATGAGGGATAGAAGGAGAAAGGGAGAGAGGAAAGGAGGGACGAACGATGGAAGGAAGGAAAGACAAAAGGGAGGGAAGGAGAAAGGAAGGATAAAGGAAAGCAAGAAGGAAGGAAAGAGAAAGGGAGAGAAGGAGGAAAGAGGGAAGGAAAGACAAAGGAGAGGGAAGGAAGGAGGAATGAAAGAGTGGAAGGGAAGGAGGAAGGAAGGGAGGAAGGGAAGGATAAAGGAAAGAAGATAGGAAGGACCAAAGAGGAGAAAGAGGGGAGAGTGAAGGAGGGAGCAAAGGAAGGACAAAAGGGTGGAAGGGAAGGATGGAAGGAGAAAGAGGGATAGAAGGAAGGGAAGGAAGGAAAGAAAAAGTAGGGAACGAGTGAAGGACAAAAGGGTCAAAGAGAAGGAAGGAAGGGAAGGAGAAAGGAAAGATAAACGAAAGCGAGAAGGAAGGAAAAACAAAAGGGAAGGAAGGAAGGAAGGAAGGAGAAAGGGAGAGAAGGAAGAAAGAGGAAATGAAAGAAAGGGAAGGAGAGATGGAAGGTAGGAAAGACAAAAGGGAGGGAAGGAAGGAGGAATGAAAGAGTGAAAGGGAAGGAGGAAGGAAAATGAAGGAGGGAAGGATAAAGGAAAGAAGGAAGGAAAGACCAGAAGAGAAAGAGGGAGAGTGAAGGAAGGAGGGAAGTACAAGAGGGTGGAAGGGAAGGATGGAAGGAGAAAGAGGGATGGAAGGGAAGGAAGGAAAGAAAGAAAGAAAAGGTAGGGAACGAGGGAAGGACGAAAGGGTGGAAGAGAAGGAAGGAAGGAGGAAGGAAAGAGAAGAAAGGATGAAAGGGTTGAAGGGAATGGAGAGAGGGAGAAAGGGAGGGGTGGGAGGAAGGCGAAGGAAGGAAAGACAAGAGGGAAGGAAGGAGAGAGAGGGCAGGAAGGAAAAAGGGTGGAAGAAGAGAAAGAGGGAGGGGAGGAGGAAGGAAGGAGGATTGTGTGAGAGAGGAGGGCCTGAGAAGAGAGTCCAAGGGATCGTATCCATCCCCTGGGCCTGGGTTTGGCCGAACCTGGTCTCGATGGTCTTGTTGTACATCTGACCTTACGAATGCCCAAGTATTGTTTGTGGGCTGCTTCTCTTTTCTGTGTGTTTTTGGGTGGAGGTTTTCAGTCCTCTGGGAGCTTTGCTGAATTCCATCCTCTTCTCTCCTTCATGTGCTTAGGAAGCTGGTTGTGACAAAAGAGAAGGAGAAGAAGGTGGGCCTCTACACCATCTATGTGAACCCAGCCAACACGCACCAGTTTGCTGTGGGAGGCCGAGATGAATATGTCAGGTGAGGGGAAACCAGTCCATGGAGAGACCGGCAAAGATATTCTGAAGGGTTTGCGGTTGTATGCTTGAGAGGGTACTGGATAATGTCATTAAGGGGGGGGGGGGGGCTTTTTTGCCTAGTCTGTTTGGACAACCCATCCAATGTTTCTTTTTTATTTCCTTTTTGCTCTCAGGATCTACGACCAGCGGAAGATTGACGAGAACGAGAACAACGGCGTCCTCAAGAAGTTCTGCCCTCACCACTTGGCAAGCAGCTGTTTCTTTTTGCTCCCCAGTTTCCCCATATCGTCCTATGCTATGGAAAAACCCTTCTACCCTAAAAGGCTGGCAGTTTTGGAGAGTAGACAGGCTCATAGGATGGAAGGATAGGACTCCCACATTTTGCCTTTGCTTCAGCAAGTTGCTGTGCCCTGCTTCATAGTGAACGACTGAATCTTAAAAGAGCAAGTTGTTGAGCAATGATGTCAAGAGCAATGATGTAAAGTGCCTCCAGTTTGCGAAGTGTAGAGCATAGGGAGGAGAGACAGTCACTGCCCTTCCTCCTCCATATATGTCTGTACTTAGGCGATCCCTCGTAGCCTGAGGATGATGGTCCTCCAAGTGGAGTGTCTTAGCAGTGGGTACATAGGTAACTGTGGAGCCCTGTTCTTGACCTGCATGTTCTCCTGCAGTGAGGGCATCAGTTTCCAGGTGGAAGGCGATCCCAGTCAGGGTTGGCTTGACGCGACTTCCTCTTGGCATGTTCCTCCCTTTCACCCTCTTCGAATTCTGCAGCACTGCTAGTCACAGCTGACCTCCAGTTAGAGCACTCAAGTGCCAGGGCTTCCAAGTTCTCGGCATCTATGCCATTTTTAAGGTTGGCTCTAAGCCCATCTTTCAATCTCTTTTCCTGTCCACCAACATTCCTCTTTCATTCTTGAGTTGGGAGTAGAGTCACTGCTTTGAGAGACGGTGATCGGACATTAGGACAGCATGGCATAGGAGCAGTGCTGGTGGTCTTTGTTTCTTCCAGCATATACGCCTTTACATTAGAACGGCTTATGTGAGCTCCATATTGGAACTTTGCCTGTGGAAAGAAAACAGGGGTCTCCCTCTAGGTGAAAAATAATAAGCACTGGCTTAGAGTTGGGTCAGTGACCACTCAGTAGTCTCCCTCACTCTTTACAAAGGTATTCTTGGGGTACCTTTGTATTCCCAGGGGAGTCCCCGGTGGTGCAGTGGGTTAAACCGCTGAACTTGCTGACCAAAAGGTCAGAGGTTCAAATCCGGGGAGTGGGGTGAGCTCCCACGGTTAGCCCCAGCTTCTGCCAACCTAGCAGAAAACATGCAAATGTGAGTAGATCAATAGATACTGCTTCTGTGGGAAGGTAATGGCGTTTCATGCAGTCACGCCAGCCACATGACCTCGGAGGTGTCTACTGATAACTCTTTGACTTAGAAATGGAGATAAGCACCACCACACAAAGTTGGACTCAACTAGACTTAATGTCAAGGGGAAACCTTTACCTTTCTTTACCTTGTGTTCCCAAAGAGGTTGAGATTAGGGAAAGGGGCAGGACCATTGATCTTATTTGTGGTGGGTGCCTTGGATACTTCTGGCCACACTCTCCACTGCTCCTGCGTAGCCCCATTACTTGCGGGGCACCCAAAGATGTTTCCTAAAGGCAGCTGCAACAAGGATGGGAGATGGGGGGCAGATATTTGTAACAGCCACCCTGACACAGACAAGATGGAGGACAAAGGACAAACAACGAGGTCTGGCCTAAGGCGAGGCCATGAGGGGATCAGACCACACACACCCTCTTCACACACACAAGGCCAGACAGTGGGAAGCCTCCACTGTATATTATATTTTGCCTTTGCTGCCACCAATTAGTTACTAAAGGTTTCTTTTGCTGCCACCAATTTATTATTTTCATAGGCCTCCTCCTTCAAAAGAATGTTTAAAAAGTCACACAGAGACTTCAGTTGAAATGAAACAGGAATATGTTGTTTGTTTTGGACAGTCAATAAGCGAAATGGTTTCAAATAACTTGTCAGGCATTACTTCTTACAAAGGATGGTAGTTTTATCTTGATTTTCTTAAAACAAAGTCACACACACAGAAATCCAAACAGGATCTTTTAAACCTTCTGACTCCCCCTTCCTCTCACAGCATTCTAATCACTATAGAGGCCTATGAACTATTATCCTCAAAGAGGTTTCCTTCATGTAGCAGTTCCCAACTCTCTTCCTTCCTCCCCCTTCACCACTCCTGACTGTCTTCTTCCACAACAAACCCCTAACTCAACTCAAATGGCTAGCTCAGCTCCTTCCTTTGCCTCTACTCCAGTGGTTCTCAACCTTCCTAATGCCATGACCCCTTAATACAGTTCCTTATGTTGTGGTGACCCCCAACCATCAACCATCAATTTATTCACAACTATAATTTTGCTCCTGTTATGAATCATCTTGTAAATATCCAATATGCAGGATGTATTTTCATTCATTTGGCACAAATACTCGATATGCCCAAATTTGAATACCGGTGGGGTTGAGGGGAGGATTGATTTTGTCATTTGGGAGTTGTAGTTCCTGGGATTTATAGTTCACCTACAATATCAAAGAGCATTCTGAACTCCACCAAGGAGGGAATTGAACCAAACTTGGGACACAGAGCTCACATGACCAACAACAAATTCTGGAAGAGTGTGGTGGGCATTGACCTTGGGTTTTGGAGTTATAGTTTACCTACATCCAAAGAGCACTGAAGCATCTGGACCAAACTTGGCATGAATACTCAATGTGGAGTTTGGGGGAAATAGACCTTGGCATTTGGGAGTTGTACTTGCTGGGATTTATAGTTCACCTACAATCAAAGAGCATTCTGAACTCCACCAATGATGGAATTGAACCTAACTCATCACACAGAATTCCCATGACCAAGAGAAAATAGTGGGTGGGTTTGGTGGGTATTGACCTTGAGTTTTGGAGTTGTAGTTCACGTACATTTAGAGAGCACTATAGACTCAAAGAATGATGGATCTGGACCAAACTTGGAATGGATACTCAAAATGTCCAAATGTGGAGACTGGTGCAGTTTGGGGAAGATAGACCTTGACATTTGGGAGTTGTAGTGGCTGGGATTTATAGTTCAGCTATAATCAAAGAGCGTTCTGAACTCCACCAATGATAGAATTGGGCCAAACTTCCCACACGGAACCCCCACGACCAACAGAAAATACTGTGTTTTCTAATTGTCTTTGGCGACCCCTCTGACACCCCCTCGCGACGCCCTTAGGGGTCCCGACCCCCAGGTTGAGAAACACTCCCCAGGTTGAGAAACACCAGTTACTCAACGTTTCCCTCCAATTTTATCAGCCAGGCCTGTTTCCTACTCTACTTTTTACACCAACCCTTCAAGGTAGGCCAATCCGTTACAGCAGCCTTCCTGATTCATCCTCTCCCCTCGACTCCCCCTAGGTGAACAGCGAGTCAAAAGCCAACATCACTTGCCTGGTCTACAGCCATAATGGCTCAGGTATGCATCTCGGCTCTGTCCAATTGTGTTGGCAGGGTCATGCCAGACTTTCTTGGTGCAGAACACCCCCCCCCCCTTGTTTGCCAGCTCATCCTCATATGATGCTTTGTGTGGTTTTATTTCTAGAGCTTCTGGCCAGCTATAATGATGAGGACATCTATCTCTTCAACTCATCCCACAGCGACGGAGCAGAGTACATCAAGCGCTACAAGGGGCACCGTAACAACGCCACAGGTGAGAAGGATATTTCAGCTTGGCCATGGGTCTCACAGCGCAAGGGCTAAGTGATGACAGGGTGACGGGTTGCAACTACTCTCTAGCACAATGTTCTGCCGTTAAAGGTTGGAGAACAAGAAAAGGAGTTGTGTGGGAAGACCCTTCTGTTCCTTACTGTTTCTCTTGTGCGCAAAGAATTAAACAGAGCTGTGCGGAGCTAAATGAGGACTTCAAAGCAGCGAGATTTTGAGCTGTGTCTTGGTGATTGTGCCACAGCAGCTATTGCACATGGATAGCCATTAAACAGATGGTGGCTGGGATGGTAAACCTACAATTGCAATGTTGGTATGCGTTGATCCAGTGGGTTAAACCGCTGAGCTGCTGAACTTGCTGACCAAAAGGTCGGCAGTTCGAATCCAGGGAGTGATCCCGCTGTTAGCCCCAGCTTTTGCCAACCTAGCAGTTTGAAAACATACAAATGTGTGTATTAATGTATTAATTTGTTTACGATATTTATGGCCCGCCTTTCTCAGCCATACGGCAACTCATGGCAGGTTACAGATTGGCACTCCCGCTGTTAGCCCCAGCTTCTGCCAACCTAGCAGTTCGAAAACATACAAATGTGGGTATTTATTTTTTTATTTATTTGCGATATTTATGGCCCGCCTTTCTCAGCCATACGGCGACTCAAGGCAGGTTACAGATTGGCACTCCCACTGTTAGCCCCAGCTTCTGCCAACCTAGCAGTTCGAAAAGATACAAATATGCTTATTTATTTTTTTATTTATTTACGGTATTTATGGCCCACCTTTCTCAGCCATACAGCGACTCAAGGTGGGTTACAGATTGGCACAATTCAATGCCAGGCATTCATAAATGTGCCATTAAAAACAATCAACATCACAATATAAAACTTATATAAAAACTGTCCAGGGAGTGGGGTGAGCTGCCGCTGTTTGCCCCAGCTTCTGCCAACCTAGCAGTTCAAAAACATACAAATGTGGGCGTTTATTTATTTACGGTATTTATGGCCCGCCTTTTTCAGCCATACGGCGACTCAAGGCGGGTTACAGATTGGCACTCCTGCTGTTAGCCCCAGCTTCTGCCAACCTAGCAGTTCGAAAACACACAAATGTATTTATTTATTTATTTACGATAATTATGGCCCGCCTTTCTCAGCCATATGGCAACTCAAGGCGGCTTACAGATTGGCACTCCCGCTGTTAGCCAAAGCTTCTGCCAACCTAGCAGTTTGAAAACAAACAAATGTGGGTATTTATTTATTTATTTACAATATTTATGGCCCGCCTTTCTCAGCCATACAGCAACTCAAGGTGGGTTACAGATTGGCACAATTCGATGCCAGGCATTCATAAATGTGCCATTAAAAACAATCAACATCACAATATAAAACTTATATAAAAACTGTCCAGGGAGTGGGGTGAGCTGCCGCTGTTTGCCCCACCTTCTGCCAACCTAGCAGTTCGAAAACATAGAAATATGCTTATTTATTTTTTTATTTATTTACGGTATTTATGGCCCACCTTTCTCAGCCATATGGCAACTCAAGGCGGGTTACAGATTGGCACTCCCACTGTTAGCCACAGCTTCTGCCAACCTAGCAGTTTGAAAACATACAAATGTGATATTTATGTATTTATTTATTTACTATATTTATGGCCCGCCTTTCTCAGCCATACGGCGACTCAAGGCGGGTTACAGATTGGCACAATTCGATGCCAGGCATTCATAAATGTGCCGTTAAAAACAATCAACATTACAATATAAAGCATATGTAAAAACTGTTAAAACATACAATCATCGGTGTCATCCTGTTAAAAATGTTATCCAGTAACACGGTCTGGCCATTCCATGTTCATCATTCATAGTTCCATGTTATCTATTCCGCTGCATTCTCAAAAGCTTTACTTTTTTTGGAAAGTCAGGAGGGAGGGGGCCAATCTAATATCCCTGGGGAGGGAGGGAGTTCCATAATCGGGGGGGGGGGGGGGCTACTACTGAGAAGGCTCTGTCCTTCGTCTCTGCCAATCGCACTTGCGAAGCAGGCGGGATCGAGAGTAGATCAGTACATACCCCTGGCGGGAAGGTAACAGCACTCCATGTAATCATGCCGGCCACATGACCTTGGAGGTGTCTACGGACAGCGCCGGCTCTTCAGCTTAGAAATGGAGATGGGCACCACCAAACTAGACTAAATGTCAAGGGGAAATCTTTACCTTTACCTGTGCATTGACCCTGCCCTCCTTCTGCCTGGCTGAGCCACCTTCTTTGCTTCCAGTGAAGGGCGTCAACTTCTATGGCCCCAAGAGTGAGTTCGTGGTGAGCGGCAGCGACTGTGGGCACATCTTCCTGTGGGAGAAGTCGTCCTGCCAAGTGGTGCAGTTCATGGAGGGCGACAAAGGCGGAGTGGTGAGAGGCAGGGCAGGGTGGATGGGATGCGTCCGTTGTGACTGGCCTGGGGCTAAGTTACATTTCCATCTATATTTGTCTATTTGAGCAACTTTTAATCTGAATATAAGTGATTTTAACGTTTGTATATATTTATGGTTTTATGTCCCGGCATTGAGTGTTTGCCATATATATGTTGTGCCCTGAGTCCCCTGAGGAGTGAGAAGGGCGGAATATAAATAATAATAATAATAATAATAATAATAATAATAATAATAATAATAATAGTTATTATTATTATAATTTATTTATTTATTTACGACATTTCGATGCCGCCCTTCTCACCCCGAAGGGGACTCAGAGCAGCTTACAAGTTATATGTGAATACAATATGTTATATTATTACCATAGCACAATATTAGTATTATATATTACTATATTGTACTATACCATTATACTATAGAGACAAAGTTGAAGTACTTTGGCCACATCATGAGGAGACAGGAAAGCTTAGAGAAGACAATGATGCTGGGGAAAATGGAAGGAAAAAGGAAGAGGGGCCGACCAAGGGCAAGATGGATGGATGGGATCCTTGAAGTGACTGGCTTGACTCTGAAGGAGCTGGGGGAGGTGAAGGCCAACAGGGAGCTATGGCGTGGGCTGGTCCATGAGGTCATGAAGAGTCGGAAACGACAGAATGAATGAACAACAACAACATTATACTTTCATATTGGGTTGTTGTAGGCTATATATTGGGTTGTTTTGGGCTATATGGCCATATTCTAGAAGCATTCTCTCCTGACATTTCGCCTGCATCTATGGCAAGCATCCTCAGAGGTTGTGAGGTCTGAAACGTCAGGAGAGAATGCTTCTAGAACATGGCCATATAGCCCGAAAAACTTACAACAACCCAGTGACTCCAGCCATGAAATGATAATATTTTATAATTACTATAATTATAAATTACAATAATTATTAAATTATAATAAATTATAATTTTATAATCTATAACTATAAAATTATAATATATTATAATTTTATAATTATAAATTATAATATATAATTATAAAATCTATAATTATAATATTATTATTAGTAGTATTATATTGTATTATAAAAATCAAAAGAGATCTTGGGTGGCATCAAATTAGATGGACCCTTAAACATGTAAGCAGTAGAATGTACCTTGTAAGAGTCTAAAAACATGCCAAACACTTCAGCAAGTGAAAAGGAAGATGGTTTGAAACCTAATGAACCCAAAGGGTGATTCTCCTCAGTGCTTCCTCTTCACCCTGGAAAGAAGTGACAAGTGGAGTGCCATAAGTAGGGTTATGGGCCCGGTTCTGTTCAGGATCTTGATTAATGGCTTAGATGAAGGGTTAGAAGGCAGGATCATCAAGTCTGCAGAGGGGACCAAATTGGGAGGGAGAGCCAATATCCCAGAAGACAGGAGCATATACAAGAGATGGTTGGCCGAAACTAACAGAAGGAAGTTCATGCAAGAGACTCCACTTAGGGAGAAAAAAGGAAATGCAAAGGGACAGAATGGGGGATGATCTCTGGCTCAAGAGCAGGACGTGTGGAAAAGATCTTGGCGTTCTCATGGGGAGGAAGGGGAACATGAGTCAACAGTGTGATGCAGCGGCAAAAAAGCCAATGGGATTTTGGCCTGCATTAATAGAAGATCCAGGAAAGTCATACAGCCCCTCTATTCTGCCTTGGTCAGACCACTTTACCTGGAATCATACTGTGTCCAACTCTGAAGGGAGATGTTGACTGTAAGCTGAAAGGTGACACAAAGAATCAAGGGTCAAAGAATCAAAGAATCAAGCCCTATGAGGAGCAGCTTAAAGAGCTGGGCAAGTTTAGCCTGCAGAAGAGAAGGGTGAGAGGAGACATGATAAGAGCCATGTATAAATAAATGAGGGAAAGTCATAGGGAGGGGGGAGCAAGCTTTTTTTTTTTTGCTGCCCTGGAGACTAGGATGCTGAACAATGGCTTCAAATGACAGGAAATAGATTCCACCTGAACATTAGGAAGAACTTCTGACTGAGAGCTGTTCAGCAGTGGAACTCTCTACCCCGGAGTGTGGCTTCAAACTACAAGAAAGGAGATTCCACCTGAACATTAGGAGGAAATTCCTGACTGTGAGAGCTGTTCAGCAGTGGAACTCTCTGCCCCGGAGTGTGGCTTCAAACTACAAGAAAGGAGATTCCACCTGAACATTAGGAAACACTTCTTGACTGTGAGAGCTGTTCAGCAGTGGAACTCTCTGCTCTGGAGTGTGGCTTTAAACTACAAGAAAGGAGATTCCACCTGAACATTAGGAAGAACTTCCTGACTGTGAGAGCTGTTCAGCAGTGGAACTCTCTGCCCCAGAGTGTGGTGGAGGCTCCTTCTTTGGAGGCTTTTAAACAGAATCTGGATAGCCATCTGTCAGGGGTGCTCTGAATGCAATTTTCCTGTTTCTTGGCAGAATGGGGTTGGACTGGATGGCCCAAAAGTTCTCTTCCAACTCTAGGATTCTATGATTAGAGTAATTTGAGATGATTCAAAGCCAGGTTTGCGTAAAATGTCTGCAAGAATGGTGGGACATAAATGGAATGAGTAAATAAAGCCAGTTGGAAGCTGAGGGTCTTAGTGATTATTAGGTGCTAGAATAATAGCAAGGTAGGCACTCACTGGGCATCTAAAGGAAGGATGTTGTATCATAGAGAACCACAACAAAGAAGGTCCTCTCCAGTCTACTACCCAGACGAGTGGGACAAAGAAGGAGACCTCAAACCATGGGGAGGGGTCTGTATAGCTTAGCAGGATGCAGGATAAGAGCAAATTTGAGAAGGGCCTGGCACAGGGCTCAGGAGTTGTTCCTCTTCTCTCCCACTTGGCTGCTGCCCGCTTAGGTCAATTGCTTGGAGCCCCATCCACACCTCCCCATCCTGGCCACCAGTGGTCTGGATCATGATGTCAAGCTCTGGGCTCCAACGGCTGAGGCCCCCACCCAGCTGGCTGGCTTGAAGGAGGTGAGTTGGGGGGCAAATTGGGATGGGGGGCAAATCGGATGGCAAGGGTAGGAGGGTGGTGGACCTCTTCTCCATGCTTCTCTGTTTTGGGTTGATGGCCCACCTGACTATCTCCTGCCGTCCCACCAGGTGATCAAGAAGAACAAGCGGGAGCGGGACGAGGACGGCCAGCACCACACCGACATGTATGAGAGCCACTTGCTTTGGTTCCTGATGCACCACTTCCGGCAGAGGCGGCACCATCGGGTAAGTAAACAATTTCTTTTGCTGAGACAGTTGAAGGGCCTTCCTAGCCTGCCTGGATACCTGGGGCAGAAATGGGGATGGCTTTGCGGTGTGTGGGGGTCAGTCTTCCAGTTGGGGGTGAATAGTTACAGTCGTTGCCTCACCACTGTGAGACGAAACAAGGGTTTTCTTTGCATTTAAATATCCCAAAGTGCTGTGGGGAAAATTATTCTGTGCTTGCTATGAAAATAATAATAATAGTAATAGTAATAATAACAACAACAACAACAGTCAGCAAAGAATACGCTCAAAGGGTCAGAAAAATTCTCAAAAGCAAGCTCAATGGAGGCAACACCATCAAGGCCATAAACTCCTTACTTAGGCGATCCCTCGTTGGACGAGTAAGATGGTCTTCCTTGATGACTATTTTTGTGGGTTTGTAGGTGGCTGTGGAGCCCTATTCTTGACCCGCATCTTCTCCCACAGTGATGGCATTGGTTTCCAGGTGGATGACGGTCCCGGTCGGGGTTGGCTTGACGCGCCTTCCTCCTGGCACGTTTCTTTCTTTCACTCGTGCCTCCTCGAATTCTGCAGCACTGCTGGTCACAGCTGACCTCCAGCTGGAGCGCTCAAGGGCCAGGGCTTCCCAGTTCTCAGTATCTATGCCAGAGTTTTTAAGGTTGGCTTTGAGGCCATCTTTAAATCGCTTTTCCTGTCCACCAACCTTCTGTTTTCCGTTCTTAAGTTCAGAGTAGAGCAACTGCTTTGGGAGACGGTGGTCAGGCATCTGGACAATGTGGCCGGTCCAGCGGAGTTGATGGCAGAGGACCATTACTTCAGTGCTGGTGGTCTTTGCTTCTTCCAGCACACTGACGTTTGTCCACTTGTCTTCCCAAGAGATTTGCAGGATTTTCCGGAGGCAGCGTTGATGGAATCGTTCCAGGAGTTGCATGTGTCGTCTGTAGACAGTCCACGTTTCACAGGCATAGAGCAGGGTTGGGAGGACAATAGCTTTATAGACAAGCACCTTGGTATCCCTATGGATGTCCCGGTCCTCAAACACTCTCTGCTTCATTCGGGAAAATGCTGCACTCGCAGAGCTCAGGCGATGTTGTATTTCGGTGTCGATGTTGACTTTGACGGGAAGCTTCCCACCGGAGTGGAAATCATCTATCGGACAGATGGCAAGCTGTTTAACCTCAGCAGACTGAAAGCCAAAACCAAGGTTACAACAACATCTGTTATAGAACTTCAGTATGCTGATGACAATGTCGTCTGTGCACATTCAGAAGAAGATCTACAAGCCACTCTGAACACCTTTGCAGAAGCATACACGAAGCTTGGCCTGTCACTGAACATCGAGAAAATCAAAGTGCTGTTCCAGCAGTCACCAGCCATCCCCTCCCCAATGTCAGAGATACAACTTTGCTAGAGATACAACTGCCAGAGATACAACTAATGTAACATTAGAAAATGTTGACCAATGCCAGAGATACAACTAATGTAACATTAGAAAATGTTGACCATTTCTGCTACCATAAACACCTGGGCCATACATGTCATAAGATATACTGCTGGCAACATTAACTGGAAGCAGGCAGAACTGGACAATTTGGACAGAAAAACTAGAAAACTCATGACCATTCATAATTCATTACATCCTCGCAGTGATGTTGACCGGCTCTATTTGCCTAGAAGGTCTGGTGGCAGAGCATTTTGACAAGTAAAACCAGCAGTCGAAGAAGAAAAACACGATGCCCTGGCAGAATATGTCAGGAAAAGGCAAGAACTTGCTTTAATTGGTCAATAATTGGAAACTTCTCGAAGCACAGCAGACAAAGAGTCAGTACAAGAAAACTGCACTCCAAACCAGAGCTGACAGATGGCACAACAAAGCCTTGCATGGGCAGTTCCTTGACAAAATTGAAGGAAATGTTGACAAGGAGAAGACCTGGTGATGGCTCATGAATGAAACCCTGAAGAAGGAGACAGAAGAAGGCCTGATTCTTGCAGCCCAGGAGCAAGCCATCAGAACCAGTGCCATTAAGGCCAGGATTGAAAAATCAGCGGATGACCCAAAATGCAGATTGTGCAAGGAAGTGGATGAAACCATGGATCATATCCTCAGCTGTTGCAAGAAAATCGCACAGACGGACTGCAAACAAAGACACAACTCTGTGGCCCAAATGGTTCACTGGAACTTCTGTCACAAGTATCACCTGCTAGCACTAAAGAATTGGTGGGGTCACAAACCTGCAAAGGTAGTGGAAAATGAACACACAAAAATACTGTGGGATTTTCGAAATCAGTCTGACAAAGTTTTGGAACACAACACGGCAGACATCACGATTGCAGAAAAGAAAAAAGTCTGGATTATGGATGTTGCCATTCCAGGTGACAGTTGCATTGAGGAAAAACAACAGGAAAAACTCAGCTGCTATCAAGACCTCAAAATCGAACTGCAAAGGCTCTGGCAGAAACCAGTCCAGGTGGTCTCAGTGGTCATTGGCGCACTGGGTGCCGTGCCAAAAGATCTCAGCCGACATTTGGAAACAATAAATATCGACAATATCACGACCTGTCAACTGCAAAAGGCCACCTGACTTGGATCTGCGCACATCATTCGAAAATACATCACACAGTTCTAGATGCTTGGGAAGTGTGCAATTTGTGAATTTTACTAAATCCAGCATAGAGATCTCGTTTGCTGTGACATACTGTGATTTTGTGTCAGTAAAATCATCATCATCATCAACAACTTTATTTATACCCTGCCACCATCTCCCCAAAGGGGACTTGGAGCTGCTTACATGAGGCCAAGCCCAGGGATACTGTTTTATTATGTTTTTGAGCATTGAATTTTGCTCTTGTTAACCGCACTGTCGCCTGAGGGCTGAGAAGAGCGGTATACAAATATTGTAAATAAATAAATATTTACTATGCCCACTTTCCTTTTGACAGCGCCGGAGGGACCCGGGCACCGGAGCCACGGACAGCGACTCGGACGAATCCCCCAGCTCCTCGGACACGTCCGACGACGAGGAGGAGGGTCCCGACCGGGTGCAGTGCATGCCCTCCTGAGGAGGCCCCTGCGGGCGAGGAGTCCCGACCGAGGCATTGGGAAGAGGGTACAGACTAGGAGCCGCAATGCCCCCTTCTTAATTAACCACTGTTCCCTCTACCCTTCTGCTTTTTACTGAAACGTCAAGGAAGGCCCTCCCCGCCTCGCCACCTTCTCATTTCTCTCTACTTGCACTTGGACATCAACAGAGTCTGTGTGGGGTGTGGGAGGATGCGCAGAGCCCCCAGACACTCAATTGAGATCTTCCGAACCTCCCGGCGGAGGGAGTGTAGGGGGAAAGGGGACTTGGGGGGCGGTGGGGGAGTCTGCCTTTCCTTGCATCACCACTAGATCTTCCCGGAAGTAGAGGAGCGCTTGGCTGCTCGTTTGTTCCTTCCCTGCGGAGCTTCCTTTTGAGTGAGTTGAGTTAACTCTCCGTTCTGCCCTTCCCCTTTCTTTGAAATGTTGTCCGTGATCCTCAAAGTGAAGGGAGGGCATCTTGGAGGTTTTGTGCTTGTCTCTCCCCATTTTTTCCCCCTCCTCGCTCCCCTTCCCCTTCCTTTCAAGGAGCACTGCTGCATGCTGCACTCGGGATGAGCAAAAATGGACTCTTGCTTCTTCTTTTTTTCCCCTGGGTGGGGCTTTTTGTCTTCCCTCCCTTGTTCTTTCCCCACACTCCACCCCACTTTGGTTGGTTGTGTTTCTTTTGTTTTTCTCTTCTAGGCACCAATAACTCCCCATTGCGAATCTTAGAGCCTTGCCTTTTGCTGGCTGAGCTTCTTCGAGCCTAAAGTTTGTTTCCAAAGTGTGGAATGCAGATGGTTGTGGGGCTCCTGGCCCCCTCCGCCCTTCGGCTGCAGTGGAACCTGGCTTTTTTTGGGGGGGGGGGGGGGGGCGCCACCAGGATCCCACCCTTGATCCGGAAGGTTCTTTATTCCCTTCCTCTCCGTCTTCCTTTTTAAAAATTCTCTCTTGTTTTTGAAACAAAAAGTTCTCCCCTATTTGCTGTTTAGAGGCCTAATTTTATATGTATTGAACCAGACAAGAACCAAATTAAACTTGGATGTTATCCAGTTAAGATTATTGTAAAAGTTTAAATATATATATAAATATAAATATATATATATATTATATAAATGCAATAAATAAATTGAGAGACAGAAACCTGGTAATGTGTGGAAAGGACCCTAAACATAAAGTCTAGTTGTGTCCAACTGTGTGGGATGGGGCTCATCTCCATTTCTAAGCCGAAGAGCCGGCGTTGTCCATAGACACCTCCAAGGTCATGTGGCCGGCATGACAGCATGGAGTGCAGTTACCTTCACGCCGAAGCTGTACCTATTGATCTGTGGGTTGGTGCTCATCTCCATTTCTAAGCCGAAGAGCCGGCATTGTCCATAGACACCTCCAAGGTCATGTGGCCAGCATGACAGTATGGAGCAACTTGGCATGAGTCCTCAATATGCCCAAATGTGTGTTTGGGGGAAATAGACCTTGAAAATACTAGAAAGGTTTGGTGGACATTGACCCTTGAGTTTTGGAGTAATAGTTCACATACATCCAGAGATGCATGGAGTGCTGTTACCTTCACACCGAAGCTGTACCTATTGATCTACTCACATTTGCATGCTTTCAAACATGCAACGTCTGCTGGCACGCTGACATATTCCCCTGGGAGGAACTGGAGGCCAAATGGGAGAAAACTCCCCCCAAAATGATGTGAAGTCTGACTCTAGGGGTTGGTGCTCATCTCCATTTCTAAGCCGAAGAGCCGGCATTGTCCATAGACACCTCCAAGGTCATGTGGCTGGCATGACAGCATGGAGTGCAGTTACCTTCACGCCGAAGCTGTGCCTATTGATCTGGGGGTTGGTACTCATCTCCACTTCTAAGCCAAAGAGCCGGCATTGACCATAGGCTCCTCCTAAGTCATGTGGCCAGCATGACTGCATGATCTACTCACATTTTGCATGTTTTCGAACTGCTAGGTTGGCAGAAGCTAGGGCTGACAGCGGAAGCTCACGCCGCTCCCCGGAATCGAACCTGTAACCTTTCGATCAACAAGCTCAGCAGCTCAGTGCTTTCCCCCCAAAATGATGGGACCACACTGACATTCAGCATAGAGAAAGTGGGACGATTTTGCTAGCGATCGGAGCAGGCACCTCATCTATTGGCACCAGAAATATCTGTTTTGGTTTGCAGGAGGAAGCAACCTCTTGTGCACACATGGAGCTCAAAGGAATTCTGGAGGCTGCCATCCAGGAAAGGGGAAACTCTGTCTCTGGGGTTATTATGAAGGTTTCTCCTTGACAGGCATGTAGCCAGGGGGGGGGCTCGGGGGGCTTCAGCCCCCCCCCCCGAAATTCTCATGGTGGTTCGCGAAAAGGCCTTACTGGTGCATTATTTAAACTGTTATGTTTATTCATATCATGATCTGATCACCATACTCAATATATCCCATATGCATGGGGGTACTGGGGTAATGATACAAAAGGTTTGCTAGGCTAGACCCTCTTTCACTCAGACTCAGCCCCCCCCGAAACTCAGCCCCCCCTCGAAACCCCCCTGAAAATTTTTTACCCCCCCCCCCCCCCCCCCGAAACGAAATCCTGGCTACGGGCCTGCTCCTTGACATTAAGTCTAGTCGTGTCCGACTCTGGGGGTCGGAGCAGCCGAAGAGCGGCGTTGTCCGCAGACACCTGCAAAGTCATGTGGCCAGCATGACTGCATGGAGCACTATTACCTTCCCACCAGAACGGTACCTATTGATCTACTTACATTTGCACGTTTTCTAACTACTAGGTTGGCAGAAGCTGGGACTAATGGTGGGAACTCACCCTGTCCCACGGATTCAAACCGCCGACCTTCCAGTCAGCCATTACTTTCCCACCAAAGCAATACCTGTTGATCTACTCACATTTGCAAGTTTTTGAACTGCTAGGTTGGCAGAAGCTGGGGCTAACGGCGGGGGCTCACCCTGTCCCGCGGAGTCAAACCACCGACCTTCCAGTCAGCCATTACCTTCTCACCGAAGCATTACCTATTGATCTATTCACATTTGCAAGTTTTTGAACTGCTAGGTTGACAGAAGCTGGGCTATCAGTGGGAGCTCACCTTACTCCCTGCTCGATTCTGGCCAAAGGAGGGTGCTGCCGCTTCATCTACTATGACGCCGACCTCTTTTGATAGTAGTATTTCCTCTTTGCTCTTTGATCTCCGGCATTTTTATGGTCGTGAACTACCTCCCCGCTTTAAGCGGTGCCTAATTTCTCTACTCACAGCTCAGCTGTTTTTGAGCTGCTTAGGTGGACAGTAAGCTAGGCTTAACAGTCGGGTGCCCAATCTGACTCAGGCTTCGAACTTGGCACCTTCTGGTCAGCAGTGATCTATTGCTGCTGGTGATTAACCAGCTGTGCTACAGCCCGGCCCATGATCCTTGCAGATGAAGGTGGTCCCAGGGTGGTAGAGTGAAAATAGGGAGGCATCTGCTGCCCTCCTTTCTCCTGTTCAGAATACTATTCTATTTATTTATTTATTCATTCATTCATTCATTTACAGTATTTATATTCTGTCCTTCTCATCATGCAGGGGACTCAGGGCGAATTACAATGCACATATATACATGGCAAACGTTCGATACCATTTAGACACACAACATACATAGACAGACACACAGGCAATTTAACATTCCAGCTTTCCGGCTTCATGAGGGTATGCTCGATTCCAGCCACAGGGGGAGCTGCCGCTTCACCATCCACTTGTGATGCTGAATCCTTTGATGGAGTACTTCCTCATTCTTTCGCACACTGCTGGAAGGTTTTATGGTGTCGTAAATTAGTTAAATTAGCCTCCCCACATAAAGCGGTACCTAAATTTACTACTTGACAGATGCAACTGTCTTTTGGGTGCATATGTCATCTGTTGGGGACTCCTCCCCTCAGCACCAACTGCCGTCCTGGGCCAGAATGAAGAGAGAGGGGGCCAGGGGACAGTCCCATCTTATCTCCTGCATATGTCATCAGTTGGGGACCCCTCAGCACCAACTGCCGCTCTGGGCCAGAGTGAAGAGAGAGGGCGTCAGGGACAGTCCCATCTTGTCTCCTGCATATGTCATCAGTTGGGGACCCCTCCCCTCAGCACCAACTGCCGCTCTGGGCCAGAGTGAAGAGAGAGGGGGTCAGGGACAGTCCCATCTTGTCTCCTGCACCAACTGCCGCCCTGGGCCAGAGTGAAGAGAGATGGGGCCAGGGGACAGTCCCATCTTGTCTCCTGCGTATGTCATCAGTTGGGGACCCCTCCCCTCAGCACCAACTGCTGCTCTGGGACAAAGTGAAGAGAGAGGGGGCCAGGGGACAGTCCCATCTTGTCTCCTGCGTATGTCATCAGTTGGAGACCCCTCCCCTCAGCACCAACTGCCGCTCTGGGCCAGAGTGAAGAGTGGGGGGGCCAGGGGACAGTTCTACCTTGTCTCCTGTGCTATGCTAATAATGTAATGTAATGTAATATATTGTATATACATATAATATTTATAATAGTATAATGTAATACAATATAATAATAAAATTATATATTTTATATTACATATATTATTACTAATAATATTACAATATAATGGTATAGTAGGTAAAGGTAACGGTTTTCCCCTGACATTAAGTCCAGTCGTGCCCAACTCTGGGGTGTGGTGCTCATTTCCATTTCTAAGCTGAAAAGCCGGCGTTGTCCGTAGACACCTCCAAGGTCATGTGGCCGGCATGACTGCTTGGAGCGCCATTACCTTCCCGCCGGAGCGGTATCTAGTACAATATAGTAATATATAATACTGATATTGTACTCTGCTTATAATATAATATAATATAATGTATATACATATAATATTTATAATGTAATGCAATATAATAAATTATTATTTATATTACATGTAATATAACTAACAATATTATTATATTGTGGTATGGTGCAATATAGCAATGTTCAATGCTGATATTGTACTATGCTAATAATATAATCTATTGTATGTAATATATACCTTGTAATAATAATAATAATAATAATAACAACTTTATTTATACCCCGTTACCATCTCCCCAAGGGACTCGGTGCGGCTTGTTGTTATTGTTTTTACTATTGTATTTGGGCTCGGCCTCTTGTAAGTCGCACCGAGTCCTTCTGGAGATCGTAGGTAAAGGTAAAGGTAGTCCCCTGATATTAAGTCCAGTCGTGTCTGACTCTGGGGTGTGGTGCTCATCTCCATTTCTAAGCCGAAGAGCCAGCGTTGTCCGTAGACACCTCCAAGGTCATGTGGCCGGCATGACTGCATGGAGCGCCGTTACTTTCCCGCCGGAGCGGTACCTATTGATCTACTCACATCGTAGTGGAGTACAAATAAAGGTTTATTATTATTATTATTATTATTATTATTATTACATGAGGCCGAGCCCGCAATACAAACAATACAAATACCTTGTAAGCCGCTCTGAGTACTCTTTGGGGTGAGAAGAACGGCATATAAATATCGTAAATAAATAAATAATGTTTCCTACTTGACAGATGCAACTGTCTTTTGGGCTGCATAGGTCAACAGCAAGCTAGACTATTAATGGTTGGGAGCTCACTCTGACCCAGCCTGGCTTCGAACTCATGTCCTCTTAGTAGTGATTTAAGGCAGCTGGCTACTAACTAGTTGCGCCACCGCTCGCTTGGTGGGATCCAAAACACATCAATCCTGGCTCAAAATCCCACCCATCGACACCTCCTTGCATTTAAAAAAAAAAACACGTCCACTCTCTGTTTACACAATACCTTCGATTTTTATTTCCGTTATTAGCACAATGACTTCATACTCTGGAGTAAAAAGGGGGAAGTTGGGAGCATATTGGGGCGGGGGGGGGGGGGGGGGAGGAATGTAAGCAAAGCAGGAGCTACGTTCCATTGTTTACGAAAGAGAATCCCCACCGAACACAAAATATTTTGAGATTTGATTAAAGAAACATTGAAAAAAGAAACAACTCACACACATGGCAAACTCAGAACTTTAAGGAGGCGATAGGGATCGATCCCATTTGGGTTGGGTAGGGTGGG